TTAAGTTGCTGAAGATTTACTTTTACATTCTTTTTTTTTAGTTTGAAAATTTTTTCTCATAGTAGTAGGTATATAGCGAACATCGTATAGCTAAATATTTATCTACCTAACTAAAATAATATGCGCTTACTATAGTACTGAAGAACAATTTATGTCTGGCACGAAGTCTGCATAAATTTACATTTTATCGTACTAGAAAATATATTTATAAATTTATTAACTTATAAAATTATCTTCAGATATTTTAGTTTTATTTTTTCTTAAGTCCTAAAATAGAGCTATTTTATTTAAATTTTTAATGGACAAAACGTAGTTGAAAAATCCGTAAATACTCAAAGCTCAAGAAAAAAAATCTGCCTAATTTTAATGTGACGTAGAATATAAAATATAGAAAGGCATTTATTTGTATCTTGTTTTTCCTCGGAAAATGTTGCAAAACCCTTAGGGATCTGTCCCTATTATTGTTAATTGAATATATTCTAGATTCTGACGAAATAGGATTCCTTTTTGCTGTTGATGCGACTTCTTACATATTATCATTATGATGTTAATGAAACTAATAGGCATCTTCTGAAACTACCTCAATTTTTACGCGTTACGCTGTTCTAGGCGGGTAATTAAATTACATTAGAGGATTGAGAAAGTCGAAGATAAAAGCTTTGCGAAGTTTTTCATTTTTATATGGCCAGAGCTTTGCGCGATGCCGACATAGGGCTATTGTTTTTTCCAGCCCTTTTCATCCCTAGACTACTTTACTCTTGAAGAGGTCGAGGTGCGAGTCGCTTTGAGATCTGACGGCTTTTGTGAAATGTACGTTTCCACTGAAATAGAAGAGCTTTCATGAGTAATTCGCTACACTTTTGAAAACATTTTTTTATGCAATTAATCTTTATTTTAATTCTATTATCAAAAATGTACATTAACCTATTTTTTAAGTATTTAAATGAAATGAATAAGTACTACCTTTTTCTTATAAAAAAAAAGTCGATACATGTTTGCAACTAACTATGCAACACGTGTTTGGAAATACAATTTTTTATATTTTATCGTCGTTATTCAGGAAGCTGAGGTTGGAGATACGACGAGATAGCGATTAATGCATTGATTTGCCACCCAATTAGCAAAACAACAAGCGACATTTGCGCTTAGTAAAGCTTCCGTTCAAGACTTGCGTCAAACTTTGTGCCTCTCTATTTATGAAAACTATTTTAGCACGCCATCAGAGATAGACTAGTTTCCGGCGTTACAGTTCACACCCAGACCAACAATTTATTACTACCAAGCCTTTGCGTGTTCAATATTTCCTTTATTTCGGATTTGGGCATGTATGACCGTGACCGAGTCCAACTGAAAAATGCTAGAAAGTATGTATTCTAAAATTTATTCACTGAATTGATTAAGTATGTATATTTATCCACCGCCTGTGGATAAAAAAAAATCTCTACAGCAGTTAACATTTTTAGTAAATTTTTCATCATATCTTACAGATAAATAACCAGAATTTATATCAGAAACCAACCAAGGAAAATGCATTAAAATATTAGTAAGAAAGTCAGTGACCTCTCCAGACTGTATTGTTTGTCCTGTCACAACGAACTCAATGTTTTTTAAATTGATTTTTAAAAGTAATTTAGTTTCTTTGTGTAGTGTCGCGGTTTTACTTTTCCCAAATCTATGTTTTGAGGAGTATCGGCGTTTTTACCGAAATGCTCGCAAGCTACCGGGGATGCCTTTTTTTAGCAGTAATAGTTTTTTGTTCACTTCGACTATGGTTACTCTTGTGTCTTTTTATCACTATCTTTAAGCTTTGCTCTGCCTGTGCACTATTTGAGGTCTTCTAAGTGTAAGTGCCTTGATCTTTGGGGTGGCTTGTTTTTGTTGTTCAGGTCTTGTTTGTACCCCGTGAAATCCAGAAAGTCCTGAGAGAGTTGGCTGCTAGATATAGGATCTAGACCTCAAGCGGTGAGCTTGAAACATTTTCAACAATTGTTGGAATTTGTGGATTTATTATTAACAATAAATTTAAAATGATTAGATGATTGCATATAATACAATGCGTGTCAAGGTCGACGTTCGTACACCTCCTATGGTGGTACCGCAGAGGTCCCGCAGCGATCTTCGCCTTAGGGTTTGGACTTTTGGTCTTTCAGAATTTTGGCTATTTGGAATCTGCTCGACACGTGCTGGTATCTGAGCTGTTGTTTGGTGTTGTGGTGTATCTTCATGTGTTTTAAAACCTAAAAATTTATTAGGAAAGGTTAAATATTTACTTTACCCCATACAATTTTTGATATAGACAGAGTTACAGCTAAAGTGTATGACAGTTAGCATTCAAATGTTAATTAAAATGAGATTTTAACGAACAAGATCATCTTAAAATTTCAGTGGCGTGTTTTTACAGACATAGAGGAATTCTTATGACAATGGAACGGTTGTTTGATTTTCTTGAGGAGTATCCTTGAGACACGCCTCTCAGTATATTTACGTGAACGTTCACCGTGAATACTTCAAGGAAGTTGCGCATTCCTTCTGCAACGTCTCGGCGAATAATTCTTTTTGTGTCTAGTGTCTGCCCACAATACAATGACACTTGACTGCGTGAATCTCATTTGTACATGTATAACCCAAAATATTTAAAAAAGAAGTCAATTTGTTTTACAAAGATTTCTGTTCATTTTCTCTGTGTATTGGTGTATTTTTCTACCTCTGAAACTGAATTGATAAAAATGACTTCAGTCAATTCTTGCAGGAAAAGTCAGTGGTTGTTTTATAGAAATATTTTGCCTAACCGAAAACTTTACACTGGAAAAAGCAAATAAATAAAATAAACATGCGTGACTAATTATTTTTTACATTTAATGTCACTATTGTCAAAATACCCAAACAAACAGAAAAAAAGACAAAACTTTTCCCATAAATAAATAATAAGACAGTAGGTTTCTCTTACGTTAGAAAATGCAACGTCTTTCAAATTAGTTGCACTAGCATGTTAACATCGTTTCAAATTATAATTGCCTTCCATTTGTGATTTAATTAAATCCCGAGATTGTTTAATTAAATGTACAATTTGTTATCTTAAGCGATTGATGGCACTAATAAAATTAATTAACAGCACTTTGTTTATGTCTTTATTCAATGGTGCAATTATTTGCTCTTAATTTTTCCATGTTTACGGCAAAAAAATAACAATTTTCAGACGTTTAATGTATTGGAAACAATTTTATATAAACAAAATACTGAAAACGATTGCTTGTAGTACAGGAGTTTGTTTGTTTAATTTTTATTTACTACCTAGTTTACCCAAACAAATAAGGTTATCTAAACATCATGTCGCAAATAAATTCGTACATCACTTTACTAATACACTTTCTCTGGCGCATTATCTGACCTACACCACTTAACCTTGTTTAAGGTACCCAACAAATCCCAAAATATTAATCAGCAGACACTCATCTGCTTGTGTGAGTCACTCAGCATACTAATAAAGTATCTAAATGATACTTCCTATGTTTGCTTTGAAACCTGGGGGATACATCGGGAGCCGCAGGCTAGACGAGTGCATACTCTGTTTTGGTTTACATATGTACTTCTGTTTTAGGTTTGCTTCCGTTGTTTACCACAGCACGAACATTGTAATTCATTCGTTCTTATCAGGAATTAAGTTTACTTCACCGGGTCAACTTCCTGAAAGAAGTGTCTACCCGACACTGGAAATACGTGCGCTTACTGTGCTGATGTGAAACATAGTCTTGGTTCTAGAGTTTATTCTTTGACAAAGAGAGTTAAACCAAAATCGGGAGTAAAAAATAGTTGTTTTATTTTTTGATGGTTAAAACTGAATTATTGTTATTATATTTACGTCCGAGTTCATCAAAAGTAAGTAGAAATTAAAGTCTTAAATACATTTTTTTATGGAATTTTTGAGTAGGTACATTTACGATAAAGTGTAACTCCAGATTAGTAAAAATCTAAACGTTAAATTTTTATGATCTCTTATTATAGGGACAAAAACATTTCTGTACAAAAAAGATTATTTGATGAACTTTTTTTGTATTCGAAATTTGTAAAGATAAAAAAATGGTAAGAAAATTATAAGAGTATGTTATTTAATCCTCTTGTTAAACAGAAAACAATTAAATTAATGGTTGGTGATTTTGTTGCACCAAATTTGGTTTTTCTCAGTTTAATTTGACTTGGGTTGGTTTAAAAAAACCCTGTAACTTTGTAGGGATGTTTCAATTAGAGGCATTTCATTTTCACTTATTTTACGAATGTCCTATATCATTAAAATCAAATTTAATAATTGTAGATATCTGGTTAGATAAGGTTTGCTAGACAGTTGTTATTTCTTTTTTCACACTTAATTTAATCAATAATCAAAATGTTTTAATATTAAATATAATTTCTTAGTGCAAATACTATCTATAGGTACATGTACAATTTTTGTTTTCAAATTACAGGCTCTTTTTTTTCTACATTTATGGTCGCATATTTCATTTTCCAAGTAATTCTGAATGAATAAATCCATTTAATATATTATTCCCTTCCAAGAAACTCTTTTGTTGTCTTTGTTGCTCGATCCAAAGAAAGGAAATTACAGTTGAAGACCTAGATAAGATATCAGCTCCATTTGAAAGTTAATTATATTACTATTTAAATAATGCCATTTGATAAAGAGTGATTTTTAGTTGAGAAATAACAGTTCATGTGGTGAGTGAAGCTGAAATAATAAAAATATTGCAAGAGTAGTTGGTTCATGTGTTGTTGCGCTTTGTTTTGTCATATCGTTTTCGAAATAAATGAATGGCTCAAAATATGTAACGGATAACTGTAATAAAATCCATATTTCTCCAGATCAACGCATTTTAGTAACAGTTAAATCTTGAATTGCCATTGCATTTTTTGACAAAATTTAATTTTCATCATGTATTCATTTCATCAACACCTTGTACCTATCGTACCCTTAAATTTGAAGTAAAATCTGTTTTTTTTTTTTGCAGAAGCATTGCTTCAGAGCAGGCCCCTTCCCCACATACCCAATCTGCCCGATTCCGAAGCCCCTGGAGCGATTAACACGAACACGCTTGGTTCCGGAGGAACCCTGGGCACCCTTTCCAGCTCGTCTACCTCTGGCGCGCCCTCTACACCCATGTCTCTCGAGACTGCCAATCGATGGACGTCCAAGGAAAATCTCTTAGCACAGGAGGAGGACGACCCCCAATTATTCGTAGCACTTTATGACTTCCAAGCAGGTGGCGAGAACCAACTTAGTCTGAAAAAAGGTAAAGTTGTGGAACTGTTTTAGTTTTTTTGTTGAAGATATATATAACCGCTGCAAAATTTTTTATTAAAAAAAAGGTCTTGACTTGTGCAGTAGGTAAACAGAAATATTTAGGATTCTCATATCTCATATTTACTCATATATTGTAGTATATTAAAAATTATAAGTTTAAATGTTATACTGATGATTAATGTAGGTAATTGCTATTGATTGAAAAAAATGATTATATAGAAATGTTTGTCATCAATCAATCAATATGTTTTATAATGAAGGAATTTATTTATTTATATTTATTTGTGACAAAACTTTAGTTTTTTTCTCTTTGGTTTTGTCTCTTGTGAAAAAAAAATAACTCTTGGCCAAAAGGGGCGATCAAGGCTGGTTTTTAAAAAACTATTTCTGTCCAACGAAAAATCATACATTTATAGAAACATGAATAGGTATAGAAAAAATAAATATATCGTTAAAAATTACTAAGACTGTTTGGGATATTGCAAAATAATAATTATTACGGAGAAATATTTAGGTAAGCTATGCAACAAAAACATTATCAAAATGTGTTATTAATAATTATTATCCTGCGGTAATAAATTTATGCTGATATGTACTTTAGAATGAGCAAATACAGTGACAGTTTTCATACTTCCAGTTGCCAGTAGTTAATTTTATGTTGTTTTTTATGGCGCTGAGATATAATCGACAAATATGCAATTCTATGTTGTAAATTGTCACTCACACATTCGATGTCGTCACAAAGCTTAACTCATTGGCATTTGAATTCTAAATTTTTCATTATTCAAGATTAAAACATTCTTAAAACAATCTACAGGGTGTTTCAGATTAACATAGCATAAAGAAGTAATAGAACATAAAAAAATTGGAAAATGTTTCCTATGATTTATGGATCTATTATCTTTGGATTTCAAGATACATTATGTTAAACTTAACACAGAGTAAATCTGAAGTTTCAAGAAAACAAAAAGTTAAAGCTTTTTTTAAGGAACTTAAAGATCATCTAAAACCAGTAGAAAAAACGATGTTTTCTTTACAAAAAAATAACAATCCACGATCAAAGGAGAAAAAAATCCTTATTTTCTAATTCTATTCCTCTTAGAATACATAGTACATTATTCGGAAACACCCTAATAATGTCTTTAATAACCTTTATATCTATTTAATATGAGCTTTTTTAATGAGAGAAAAACATAAAAACACTATTTTTACATTACTATATGTATAATGAAATGCTTTGGCAAATATTGATATTTACAATAAATACAGCACGATTTCTCAGTTAAAACGAAGTACTTCCTTTTAAAGGTGAACAAGTTAGGATATTAAGTTACAATAAAAGCGGGGAATGGTGCGAGGCACACTCCTCGTCGAACCAAGTAGGATGGGTGCCATCGAATTACGTTACCCCAGTGAATTCGCTAGAAAAACATTCCTGGTACCATGGACCAATATCTAGAAACGCGGCAGAATATTTACTTAGCTCAGGTAATCACACTTACCGGAACTATTCTGTCATAATCATATTACCACTTTCTTTTAAGGAATCAACGGAAGTTTCTTAGTGAGAGAATCGGAGAGCAGCCCGGGTCAACGGAGCATCTCTCTAAGATACGAAGGGCGGGTCTACCATTACAGAATCAACGAAGACACCGAGGGCAAGGTGTACGTAACTGCCGAGAGTAAGTTCAACACTCTCGCCGAATTGGTTCACCATCATTCGATGTTGTCAGATGGGTTGATAACACAGTTATTGTACCCTGCGCCGAAACATAACAAACCGACCGTGTTCCCTCTTAGCCCCGAGCCTGACGAATGGGAGATTAACAGGACTGATATCGTCATGAAACATAAGTTAGGCGGAGGACAGTACGGAGATGTGTACGAGGCGATTTGGATAAGGTAAATTTTTGAGTGGTATAATTATTAGTCTTTTTTTCAAGCTAATATTTATAGTTGTACATTTTACATAAAAATTTGGTTATATACCGATTTGGAATACTGGGAAGTATGGGGGATTATTGAATTAAGTCAATATTAGAGGTCATTGGCACTAAGATTCGCAAACTAAACACAGTGCTTTAAAAATATAGTAGCAAATACTTGATTATAAACTTGAAATGGGTTTAACAAATATTTAAATTTTTTTTAAGGTACAACAAGACGGTGGCTGTAAAAACACTGAAAGAGGACACCATGGCTTTAAAAGACTTCCTCGAGGAGGCGGCCATCATGAAAGAAATGAAACACCCGAACTTGGTACAGTTAATGGGCGTTTGCACCAGGGAACCGCCATTTTACATTATAACGGAGTTCATGAGCAAAGGCAACCTACTGGACTACCTACGCAACGGAAACAAGGAACAAATTAACGCCGTCGTACTTATGTATATCGCAACGCAGATAGCCAGCGGAATGAGCTATCTGGAAAGCAGGTGTTTCATTCACAGGGATTTGGCGGCGCGGAACTGCCTGGTGGGCGAAAACCACTTGGTCAAAGTGGCCGATTTCGGATTGGCTAGGTTAATGAGGGACGACACGTACACTGCTCACGCGGGCGCCAAATTCCCGATTAAATGGACCGCCCCCGAGGGTTTAGCTTACAATAAGTTTTCTACAAAGTCGGACGTGTGGGCTTTCGGTATTTTGCTGTGGGAGATCGCGACTTACGGCATGTCCCCGTACCCCGGCGTGGACCTGACGGATGTGTATCACATGTTGGAGAAGGGATATAGGATGGAGTGTCCGCCTGGGTGTCCTCCGAAGATCTACGAGTTGATGAGGCAGTGCTGGCAGTGGAACGCCAACGACAGGCCCATGTTTAAAGAGATCCATCATGCCCTTGAGAATATGTTTCAGGAATCTAGTATCACCGAAGGTAAGTTGATCGATTTGCGAATTAGGTTTTTAGTACTGAAATCGTTTGTTTTCGGCAGAAGTAGAAAAACAGTTGCAAGGGAATGAGGCGCCACCGGTTCCGATGGGAACTCCACATATGTCCTACAAGAAGTCCCACTCGGGGAGTACGGGGAACATACATGGATTAGTCGGGGTTTCAGAACAGTCTTCTGCAGGTAAATATTTTGTGAAACTATGGAGGGGGATCCAAAAATAACTAGACGAAATTCGCTGTACGTGCCGCTCTTGTAGTTCGGGTTTCTCCCGCTAGATGGGTCCCTCCTGAAATAGTTTTCGTGCGATGACTATCGATTTTTTAAAATGGTGATATTCCAGAACAGCGTGTTGCATTGCAAATTTGTTTTCTGCTCGGTAAAAGTGCATCGGACACAGTTGATATGTTGTCTACAGTTTATAAAGAATTCAAGTGTTTGAGCGGTATTCGCGATCCAAACGCAGCGACATGTCGATCGAAGACATTCAATGCCCGGGTCGGCCTCGCACTTTCAGAACTGATGAAAACTTGGAAAAAATTTGGGCGTTTGTGTACAAGGATAGAAGCGTCCTAACTTGCTGAATTATCTGGTCTTTCGTGGAGCTCAATGCAATGCATTTTAGCCGAAAATTTGCAAATGAGATGAATCGCAGTGAAAGAGTGACCGAAAAAAAAGCCATTTTTCCACCTGTTTTTGAGACTATGACAGAGGCAACAGGGAAAATCCTAAAAATATCCAAATACTCGTCATGAAAAATGAAAATGAGCATCACTCAGTTTTTCGAAAATTTTCGAAAATCGCCCTTATTTCGGGGTTGAAAAGACAAAAAAAGTGAACAAATTAAGAATCATCAACAGTTGTAAAACCCCAAATATTTCTATTTTGTTATCAAAATAATATGAACGTGAAAATATCTAATTTCATATTTGATACGGTCTTGTCCGGATTGAAAATCAACCCATAATATCCCTAAAGGGGTGAAATCATCCCCTAAACGCCTAAAAATGCAAAAAATATATTAAAAATTCTTTTCTTTTTCTTTTATACGTGATAATTGAACCGTTAACCCACAATCACTAGATCTGAAGGAAAGTACCCCTAAATGAGGGTAAAACCACCCCTAAGTTCAACCATCGACTTCAAAGTACATAAAATAATTATAATGCATGAAAAAATAATGTTTCGAAATACATTCATTAGAATAATTTATACACAGATACTCCCATACGTTATCAATCATTTTAAAAAATAATCATCCCTCTCAAGGGGTAAAATCATCTCCCAAATATACACAAATTGTAAATAATGTGAAAAAATATTATTTTGATAACAACATAGAAATATTTGGGGTTTTACAACTGTTGATTCACTTTTTTTGTCTTTTCAACCTCAAAATAAGGGTCTTTTTCGAAAATTTTCGAATAAGATGCTCATTTTCATTTTTCATGACGAGTTTTTGAATATTTTTAAAATATTTTTAGGATTTTTCCTGTCGCCTATGTCAAAGTCTCAAAAACAGGCAGATTTTGCGGTCACTCGTTGTCTCCCGTTTGTTGACTTCTGTTCAAAAGCTCGTGTCGCTGCTTGTCGTGACTTGTTGGACCATTTCGAGGTGGACAAGAACTTTTTCGATGAAAGTGGGGCTGAAAGGGAAAAGTTTGCAGACATTCCGGAGATGAAAAGAAATTCTTAACATTTTTTGTCCGTTTATTTTTTAGTCGGGTTTTACAGTGGACCAGTTTCCAGTACCGTGCAGAAGTGTATTTTTAAATCATTTGTATTTGTAAGAGAATTTTTTTTTTGGATAAGTTCTGAATACCTGTATTTGAATTTTTAAGCAAAAAAAATTCGGAATTGTATATTATGCAAAAATAAAATGTTTATTGTAAGTTGTAACTTGTTTGAGATAAGGCGATTTACGTTGTTTTGAAAAAAAATGGCCTTTCTTCCTTTCTAGATAATATTAATGTGAGTTCTACCAAGCTATCAACATTCACAGGAGGTTGCAAAAATAGCATGGTGCAGATGCGAAGAACGACGAACAAAAGAGGAAAAACTGCACCTGCTCCTCCAAAACGAACAAGGTTAGTCTGTTTTCTTATGATTAAATGTAAATTTTGATTTGTAATGAAATATCATTGGTTCAATTTGATGTAATTTTAAATAAGTTTTGTTTCTTACCATTTGTTTAAAAGGACTCTATAGCAAATAGGCAACCAGCAATAAATTTTTATAGATTTTACTACACAGTTTGTGTAAATATTAATTAATGCACAAATAACAGACTTTCCTCTATTCTAACGTAGATTTTCTATAAAATGGACTTAGTTTGAAACTTAAATTACTTTTTGTTGTGAAGAAATTTGTAATTTACCGCATTTGAACAAGTAAATTACAAATTTCTTTACACCAAAAAGTAATTTGAGTTACAAACTAATTCCATTTTATAGAAAATCTGCGTTAGAATGGGGGAAAGTCTATTATTTGTGCATTAATTCATATTTAGACAAACTGTAATAAAATCTATAAAATTGTATTGCTGGTTGCCTATTTGTTATAGAGCCCTCTTAAATAATTTTAAAATGACTTTTTATAAACCTAGAAGCATAGAAGGGCTGTAAATATAACTTTGAACTGAAATAAGCAAAAAAAATTAAATTCCATATTGCTCTTGCTAATATTGATTTGTAAAAGCCTAAATCTTATGGCTTGTACGAATATTTTTTTTTACAAAAATCTGTTATAGACGTTTCCCGTAACGATCTATCAGGAAACATTTACTATTCCGGTTTATTTCATGAACAAATTTTTATCCAACGATAAGAGTTTAATTAATCTTTTCGGAGCTACGTGCTAACACCTAATACATACATACATTTAATATTACTAATCCCTAACCTCTGTGTGATAACGATTTATTGACTTCTGGTTGCAGCTTGCTGTCTTCTTGCAGCTCCTTTCGTGACAGTACGTGCGACGACCAGGGACAAGGCGACAACGTCTGCGAAGAGGGAACCGACTTAAACGGTATTAAAAAAAGATTTAAAGGTATTTGTTAAGAGACGATTTAGGCATGAATCTGGCCCTAATGAGGCATGGACTTATCTTGTTTAACCGCCTTTTCTGTATAGGGGGAATGCGAGTAGTAGGTACCCGGGTTTTCATCGCGAACCTTTGTCGGTGATGAATCTGAAAATATTGTGGGAATATGTAGGTTTTAAATCTAATAGGACTAACAAATCTCAACTTACATCATGCCTAAATTTCATAATATCGAGCTTGTACTAATAGCATTTTTTTTTTACTTACTAATCGCTGAAACTACTGCCTGCCAAGTATGCAGTGTCCAAGGTGAAGACGTCTATCGAGAAAGATACAGAGTGGATCAAATAAAAAAAAAATAAAAGTACGATCAAGTTTTTTGTCCGATACACTCACATTAGATCAACATATACTTCATCCCATTCATTTCTCTTATTATTTTTGTCACTGTGTTTTTGCAGGAGGTATTGAGTAAAATATGACACTTTTGCACTTCGTCAATCAATTTTTCTATGTCTATGCCCATAGCAACAGGATCACTCATCCTGGGATGTGACTGTTTGCAGGCTGACGTCCGATATATCGGTCATATGTCTCAATGTACATACATGCTCTATTCTCTGAAGCGACAGTCGAATCGGTCAAGAAATGGAATATGTTGTGTTTCTATTGTTGGAATTACATTGCTACCGATCTGTGCATGTTCAATTGTTTCATGTTCACTTTCGTCAAAAAAATATCGGTCCTCGACTTTCTCCGATAATTCTGGATAATTCATTTTGATGTTAATTACGGGCGAGGTATGCTTCAACTACACTAAATCTTTTCGTACTATGTTAACAGTAATCGACCTAGTTCCCTAAACTGTTGCACAGCTGCGATTAATAAACGATGACTTTAATTAATAAGTAATGTAGTACAATCAATCTGTCACTGCCTAATGTTAAATTTACAAAAAATACCACCTGGAAACAAAAAATATGGTGATATAGGAAAAAAATTCTAAGAAAGATGATGTCTTTTTCCTGTGGCGCATAAACGGCGAAGTTAACCTAAAAAATTCATAAAAGTCAAAAAAACGGTTTTTCGCTAATAAAAAAAAACGAACTCCAATCGAAAAACGTTAAATGAGAAAGTTGTAGTTACTAAAAAAAACCTATCAATTCGTATTTTTAAATATGTATATTACTTCGTCAAAACCGTCAAAAATCGACTTTTTTTGTTTTTGCTGTTATCTCTTGCAAATTAAGGTTTTGAAACTTGTTATTTACTGTAAATGTAGCCCTCGACAAGCAAAAAAAATAACTTAAAATTAAAAAATATTAAAAAAATTTCGAGTTATATCGATTTTTCGAAAAAAGGGTCATTTCGAAAATCGGCTCTTTTTGCTAGACGAATAGTGGTAGAGAAATGAATTCATGGTAAAAAAGAGTAATAACGATTTTATTAATTTCAAGTGTCCAAAAATGACTGAAAAAAGTACAAAATTTTTGGTCGCGTTTTTCTTGAACATCTTCCATTTTCATGTCTCGATAATGTCTATTACAGGAATCGATTGCTGACATTTTTACGCGAATTTAAAAAAGGAACGTTGCTCTGCAACCTTCTGGAGCCGAGAAATTTCTTTTTTTTTCAAAAAATTCCACACAATTCAAAATGCACAAGTGGCTAAAATGAACCACAGTATTTTTTTATTGAAAATATGTCTTCAAATTCAATCTCGTATGAATGGACGCTGTAGCACTTAAATAGTGGCCTGTGGAATTTTTTGAAAAAAAAATTATCTCGGCTCCAGAAGATCGTAGACCAACGGTTTTATTTTTAAATTCGTGTAAAAATGCCAGCAATCGATTCCTGTAATGAGACATTATCGAGAAATGAAAACCGAAAAAGATGTTCAAGAAAAACGCGACCAAAAAATTTTAACTTTTTTCGTTTTTGGACACTTGAAATGAATAAAATCGTTATCACTAATTTTTACCATGAAAGTATAACTCTTAAGGAAAAAAAAATAATTTCTCTACGACTATTCGTCAAGCAAGAAGAGCCCGATTTTCGAAAAATCGATATAACTCGAAAAAGTAACAGGTTCCAAAACCTTAATCTGCAAGAGATGCAGCAAAAACAAAAAGTTTTGACAGTTTTGAGTTTTTACTTTTTTCGATATATCTCGAAAAGTAATATAGCAATCGATTGGGTTTTTTAATAACTACAACTTTTTCATGTAACTTTTTTCGATTGCATTTCAAGGTTTTTTTTATTAGCAAAAAACCGTTTTGTTTTTACTTTTATGAATTTTTTAGGTTAACTTCGCCGTTTATGCGCCACAGGAAAAGAACACTATCTTTCTTATAATTTTTTTCTTATTTCACCATATTTTTTGTTTCCAGGTGGTATTTTTCTGTTCAACTTCTTGATTAGACTAATGGTGCAAATAATGACAGTCGGTGGCTGACTAAGTCACTGAATTCTAACAAAGTACATGACATTCTGTAGTGTCTGCATTATAAGTGGCAGTGCCAAGGACAGCCAATATAAGTAAATTGAAAATGAGACAAAAAATGAAATTTCACGAGAAAGTACAGCTAAGTATTGTTTTTGCTGCAACTCCGACAACAATATCAGAAAAAATATGCTGGTTATTTCAATAGCGATAATTTTTTTTTCTAATTTGAGCCTTTCTGTATTTCTCACCATTTTCTATACGATGGACGTCTTTACCTTGAATACCGTGTGTGTTTTTCTATATTCCGAACGTGAGAGCTTAATCTCCTTTCGCAGGTTTGACTAGAGAGCTTCAAAATCTCACGGCGGGCACGAAGTGCGACAGCGAAAGTGACCTTCAAGATCAGACACCCGACACGGACGATTCGGGCGCCCACTCGTATCCAGAGGTATCCACCGTCAGTAATCTTGGACCCGTGACGGGTTCCTTTAAGAGAGCGCCTATCATGGGTAACAGGGGGCTAGAGCAGAGAGGAAAAAAGACTAAAACTAAAGACTCGCCGATGGTAAGCACTGCAATAAGTACTTCTTTAAATTTTGTTGTAAAATTTAAAACGCAACACTGCATCATACAAATTCTATTTCCATTTCACTAGAATTTAATATTTTATGCAAAAAGTTGTGAAATTAACTGCTGAAGCACATCTGATAAACCGATAATCCGATAAATGTAATAAGATGAGGCGGTGACATATTGGGCCATCCTCATTTCACTGAATTAACGTTGGCCGTGTGTTTTTTGCCAGCTTGGCATTTTGTCAGAGGTCATTGACATTAATTCACAGACTAAACACAGTGCTTTAAAAAAATTGTAATAATTTTAAAGATAATTTTGAAATATATATTTAATTGAGAATTTTAGTTACAATGTAATTTTAGGTCCAAGTGGCCGCCCTAGAAGTGCAAAACGTTAGGAAGGCAATCAGTAGATACGGCACTCTCCCGAAAGGTGCGAGAATAGGGGCCTACTTGGAATCTCTACGACAGAGTGGTATGTCTACCAACGAGGAAACGGCCCAAGCTGCGAACCCTACCATAGAGCAGACGGAAACCACTCCCAGGTCTCTGTCTCCCAGAACGAATATTAGAACCCAACCGCAGATGATCCGGAGCAACTCTTCTAGCGGAGTGACTTCCTTTAACGCAGGACATCCTCCCAGTTCTCCGACGTCTAATAAACTCTCTAGAAATAGGAATATCGCTAGGAATAATACCAGTGATGTACGAAGTAGTTTAAGAACTTTCAAAGCATCTCAAAACAGTAGTTTTCGGGGAGGTAGCCCTTCTAGATCGATCCAACCCACGCTGGCAGATCTGGAGTTCCCTCCTCCGCCCACAGACCTACCTCCACCTCCGGAAGAATACGACATTCCGGGAGTTGACCAAGTCGACTGTAGCACCTCTATAATGACCTCCTCGCAGGAGCTTAAGAAAAAGATGATCCCCATTTCCCCCTTAACGACTAAGAAAATCTCGAAGGAACCGGAGAGCGCGGAGTGCGGCGATATCAGTACGCTCCAGCCGTCCGTCGAGGAAGCTAGTTCGAGATTTGGAGTCAGTTTGAAGAAGAGGGAGCCTAGCACGGACAGTTCTAACAGTCTGAAGGAGGGTAAGGAAGAAGTTAAGGAGAAGAGCCCTCAACGGACGAGCCTTACTCTCACTAGTCCCAGTCAGGACGGTAAGAGTCCTATGAGCGTTGATTCCGATGTTCCTATGGTCGGTTCGCCGCTGGAGCCCCTTCCACCCCCACCTCCGATGTTTCCCGAAACTAGTGAGTATAAAGTTGGAATATTTTAACGATAGATACAATATGTTTAAATTTTTTGCAGCAACGTAACACTCTTATTGGATTTGATAAAAACCGATAATATAACTAATGTGTAAATTAGTTGTTTAGTTTGTTAGTAGTGCAGCAGTGGACAATAAAATCTTTCCGGTATAAAGTAGCGGAACGTTGAAAATTTAGCTATTTAAATTATAATAGGAACAAATGTTTTTTTGAATTCATTTAAAAAGTATTAAAATACAAATAACGCCCACAAATAATATTTACTTTAATTTAGAGCTGGACATTCTCTGGTTTTTATAATTTATTTAAGGATCAGAGTTGCAACTATTTTTCTACTATTTTAGTGTTATCGTTACTATTTGAAAAATAATATTCTTAAAAAATTACACAGTTTGTCTAAATATGAATTAATGTGCAAATAACGGACTTTCCCCCATTTTAACACAGATTTTCTATAAAATGGACTTGGTTTGAAACTCAAATTAAGTTTTAGTGTAAAGATATTTGTAATTTACGATACAAATTACAAATTTCTTTACAACAAAAAGTAATTTGAGTCTCAAACTAAGTCCATTTTATAGAAAATCTGCGTTAGAATGGAGGAAAGTCTGTTATTTGTGCATTAATTCATATTTAGACAAACTGTGTAGTAAAATCTATAAAAATGTATAGCTGGTTGCCTACTTGTTATAGAGCCCTCTTAAAGAAAGGTAAAAAATTTTAGAGAACTATTTTTTTGTTGTACAATGTACAGAAACTGAAAAAATAACCATTTTCACGTATGAATTTTTGTTTAATAAAAGCATCCACCATACTCTTGTTTGGCATCTAGATAAAACTGAAAAATTTACATTCAATGTAAAATGTAATTTTGTTCAGAAAAAGTATTTTTTAAGCAAATTTTTAACTTTTTGTATCTCAAAAAGTATGCATGTTAATTATAGTGGATAACAACGTATTGAAAAAAAAGGGTAAAATGAAATCGGCCACACAATGTTTATAAAAATTTCGTCTCGTAATTTATACTCGAATAGCAGTTCGGTGAGTATTTGTAGACCAGTCTGCCTGATGTAGAATCGACGTCGGCGTGCTGGTCGCCAAAGCAAACCTGTATTGGTCCACTAGGTCGTAAATAATTTTTTTATATGGTATTTTGTGGTTTGGTGTCGAGCAAGTTCACTTGGCCTTGCCAGTGCTGTTCAGAGCAGTACTATGTTGTCGGTATAATAATATGTATTATTATTCATTAGTTGATATTATTATTTGTAGCAGGTATTTATAAATACAGCAAGATAGAACACCAAAAATATTGCAAACAATTAGAGCAATTACGCGGAGTTTAAACTTTCAAATCCATATTTACACTGAACAATACACGATGGAAACTTTTTATTGTCCACAACTGAACACAAAACTATTACGAGCACAATATCATCCATTCACGCACTTTTTTTTTAATTGTTGTACACAATTCATCAGTAGGTTCTTGAAGTAATAAATTATTGTGAGTAGAAAATTTAGAGAACGCTAAAAGATTTCCGTAAATATTTGCTATTTGTCAATAGGGTCGTTTCCTTAAGTGAAATTATACCTTCAAAAGTCCTAAAATAACGTTAAAGGAGGAAAATGATGGCATATTTTTTGGAAGAATTGGAAGATTTCATTACGTTTACGTTGGCAGTATGAGATAAAATTAAATTAAAATATATAAACCCAATTTTTCTGAAATAAAATAGGGAAGACTTATTAAATATGACAATTTATTTATTTTTTTTTGCTTGAGAATTTCTTGATTCCGATCTCTTATTGATTGCTACCCGTTCTGACGTGACGCGGAAGAGCCGGGTCCTTATTTTTACCGTGGGGATGGTTTAGGCTCATATGATATGTAAAAAAAGTATTAAAAGTGAGGTTAATGGTTAATATTCAGAATTTTTAAAAATGTAAACCAAAAAAGCTAGTAGGTATTTAGGATGGATATTTAAAAAACATTATTTTTAAATGTTACATTATTGTACGAGGACCCATTTTTATTCAACGATTCCATTGTGTATTTGCCTTTACAGCTGCTAGAAAAATAGTTCTAATGTTTAATCTTCCGGAAACTATGTCATCATATATTTTGCATCTCTTTTCTTGCTTAGAAAAAATTGCGAATACTTGTTAAACATAAATGCGAAATGATCCTATTCTTTTACAGTTCTTGTTACCACCTAAGGAGTGTATTTTTTATTCTACCGTTAATAAATGTGATTTTATCCGTTTGTAATGTAAATTAAATTTTTAGACGAAGACGATGCGGATCACTTCGACTCTCTAGACGACAATAAAACCTCGAAAGTGTTCAAGAATAAGCTGGTCATGAAGGAAATGGAACTCAAACTGGTTGCCGAGATAAAAGAGAGAGCCGATCAGAAAAGTAAAAATATTAAAGAATCTCCACTAGAACCCTTATTGGCTGTGAGTGGCATAAGCCATGACCCCGTAGCTCAGTTAGTGACGGAGCTGTCGCAATCCCTAAACATAGAAAAAGACGTAGCGAAGAACGTGATCCGAAAAAATTCTCAAGGGAACATTTCAACGACAACGAAGCCAGTAGATAGCAATGGCGTAACGCTAATAACACAGCTCAAAAAAATCGACACGAAGAAGCCCGTTAGCAAAGAGAAGGCCGAGAATGATTCTTCTATGATTATCGACTTTAAGTCGAGACTGCGAAAAGTGGAAAGCGAAAAGAAATCCGAGGATGGCTTGATCAGAAATGAAGACAACGAAACCGAGGCCAATAAACGGGAGAGCACCGCTAGCTCGGACAGCGGGAATTTGAAAATCGACGAAGGCGACGATAAAAGGAAATCGACTGGTAGCATAAGTAGTTTGAAAAAATTGTGGGAAGCCAAAGACACTGCTGACAATTACGGAAATATCCAGCTGAGCCCCAAATTAACAATAAAAAACAGTAAAAATGAAGAGGCGAGCGAAGTGTCTCCAGGGGAAAACACCGATGATTCCGCGAAAATGGAAAAAATTAGCAAAAACGATAAGAAACCCTGGCCCCCTAGTAACGAGGATAAACCCGTTATTCCTACAAAACCGCCAGTAAAGGCTGTCAAACCTATAATAAATCGCCCGACTGGATCAGCGATATACGCGACTCCCAATTCTAATAATTCTAAGCCTCCTATAATGGCAAAACCGACCAATATAGAGACTAAAGCTGCAGAGGACGAGGCGAAGTTGTCCTCAAGCGACAAAAGCGGAAAAGAAAATATTCTAGAAATTTCCCAGGCCTTGGAATCGACTCTGAATAGTATCAAAACGAATTCCACGGTATCCTCAGCGACTTGGTTACAGATCTCGGATAAAATCGGACTGCTGCACGGCTCTTGCATGGATTACGCCGACAATGTTGTCCCCGCCCACACCAAATTTCAGTTTCGGGAGCTGCTGACGCGACTGGAAAGTCAGGCCAGACAACTTAGATCGGCCGGTTCGAGGAACACGACGGATAATACAAGATGCATCAATGAAGTGAATAATACCATTAAAGATGTGGTGAATGTGGTGTTTCGATAAGATGACCGTATATTTTTTTAATTTATCGTACGATACATATGTATTTGACTGTTAGGACCACTGTATGTAATAATTTACTCTTAAGGTAAGTCGAGCATTTATCAAGTTTTATGCGTACGTTGCGGTGGTAGTATTTCCAAAAATCTTTGTTGACTTTTGTTTTTTGTGATGTCTCAATTTTAATAAAACGTAATACGCCGAACTGATTTAAAAGCGATGAATCGTATCGATATAATAAAAAAAAGGCGAATAGTTTTATCCCTCTCCGTTATCCAAGTTCAATATTCATTTTTTTTCACATCCGACGTACGTTTTTTAAATATGTTCATTGTCAAATTGTGTTTTTATGAGTAATTGTTTCCATTGCCTTTTATGTTTCGGGTATAGAGGAAAAAAAAAAATTAATCATCGTTTATGGCTTTTTCAAAATATTCTCCACGAAGATCTTTTGCATGCACCCGAACCAATTTTCGAAGCACTTTTTCCATTCCGATTGAGATACCTCCAAAACATGCGTTTTGAACGCTTTAACCGCTTCTTCATGCGTCGAAAAACATTATCCCTGTAATTTATTTTTGACGAGCGGGGATAAAAAAAGTCATTGGGTGCCAAATCAGGGCTATATGGTGGATAATTCATCAATTAGACTTCTTCAGTTCTTAAAAAGTCTCTTGTTCGGCCGATGTGTAAGTTCGCATTGTTCTGAGGAAGAATGATGCGTCTTCGGCGGTTGGTTTCTATTTTTCTGGCAAATAAATAGTTGTGTATCATTCAGAATTGACCGTCCGACGTGGCACTAACAGTTACCACATGTCTGGCTTTTTCAAAATATTCTTCATGACGATCAATACAATTTTGCATGTTCTTGAACCAATTTTCAAAGCATTTTTTCCATTCCGATTGAGGTACCTCCAAAACATGCATTTTGAACGCTTCAACTGCTTCTTCAGGCGTCGAAAAACATTGACCTTGTAATTTATTTTTGAGGTGCGGGGATAAAAAAAGTCATTGGGTGCCAAATTAGGGCTGTACGGCGGATAACTCATCAAATAGACTTTTTCCAGTTCTTAAAAAGTCTCTTGTTTGGCCGATGTGTAAGTTTGCATTGTCCTGGGGAAGAATGATGCATTTTCGGCGGTTGGTTTCTTTTATTTTTCTGATAAACAAATGGTTGTGTGCCTTACCACGTTTGGTTTTTTCAAGAAACAGGCAACTATTTGCTTAGAAGTGCTGGTCTCACTAATGCCCAAGGATGCCTCAATCTCACGATATATTACATGACGAATACAATATTCAGTTCACTCACATTATCAATGTTTTCTGGAACAAAAACCGATTTTGGACGATCTTCATGAAATTTGTCAGTGAGCGAACTACGGCCACGATTGAATTCCATATACCACCGATATACAGTGGTTTTTGATGGTGCTTCATTGCCAAAAGTTGAACTAAATTAATCGATGCACTGTTGTTGAGATAATCCGCGTTGAAAGTTGTAAAAAATAATCGCACAGATATGTTCGGGACTTAATTGTTTTTTTCTGGCCGAGACGAATTTTTCAAGTCACCGCAAACAACACAAATGGTGCCTGTACGTCAAATCGTTCTGAGTAAGTGTACCGACAAAAGTCAAACTTTACATTTAGGGACGTTGGTTGTCAGATGGCAGCACCAGGATCTTCCATTCCAGAAATATAAAAGGCACCCTCGTATGTAGTTTAAAAAAAAAAAACGAGAATTTTATGTTGCTGATGGCAGATTCTAGAAAGGAAAAAATGTATCTTTCAAACGTTTTTTTCTTGATAACTTGCAAAATTCCTATCAAATTTGAATACAACATTAAGAATCGATTAAACTAATAATTGATTTAATCAATTAAAATTGACATATCACAATTGAATGCCCTTATATTATTTTCACTGAACTGTGATACCATGTTTAGATTATGTTTAGCATTATATGCTCAATGATAATTTATTACTTTTATCCTATGAATTTAATGTTTTTTATATGTAAAATTTGAATAAGCAGTTTTTATTATTTTTATTGCTTTCATACCAGTTTTGTGTAAAAAAATATGAAAAAATACCGACTCTCTCACCATTTCTCTCGATATTAAAAGTAAAATAGGATCTTAAGGAATTTGGAGAAATAAAACGATACACAAAAGTGGCATTGAAAATTACGATAAAGAATATGCTAGTCTTTTTGTAATATATTATTTTGTATGTGTGAATATTAAATAATTAGTTAAGCTGAAATATTGATATAGAATTACTACCTAAAATTGAAAAATATAAATTTTGTACAATCCAAAGAAAAACCTAAATTAGTGTCTAATCTTTGTTTTTAGATTATTTTCATATAATTCATTTTCTACTTTTATGTACATATTCTAGCTAATTTTGTATTAAAAAATTTAAATTATTTATTTTATTTAATTATATGAAAGCAATTTGACACAACAATACTTTTAGATAATTTTGTTTATAATAAACATGCTCATTTTATTCTATAAGGAACATATTACGTATGTTCGAAACATGAATTTAAATAAAATTATTACTCATATACTTAAATATGTGCTTCACTAGTGTGTGTTTGAAATATTTTATTACAACGATATACTCAATATTTGTGCAAAAATAGTACCGTTTCGAAAAATAGTCGCTAATAAGTGTTACATATTTTACGTTATTAAATTATATTAGCATTTGACCTTATTAGACAATTATATTTTATTTAAAACGTGTACGCCTTTATTTTTTCCAACGTACATACAGGTAAAACATATTGCTCAAATGATATCCGTTAAACAGTCCGTTTACGAAATTGTATTTAATTTTTTACGCAAAAAAGGAAACTTAATTTACCACAAATACTTTTTAAACGCGTAAATGGGGCCATTAAGATCCAAACATTTTCTTAAAGATGTATGACGAATAAGTTTTATTTTATACAGGATGTTCAAAAAATTTGGAACCCCCCCTGCTATCAGAAAATACTGCTCAAACAAAAAAATGATTGGGACAAACGTTGCAGTGTTTTGACTGAGCAATCCAACGAGTCATTTAGTAAAAATTGACTTGACCGAACATAAAAATTTCCTTTTTTTCCATATTCGAGGTCAAAAATATGGTTCCATTTAAAATTTTTAACTTGACCTCTAAATGACCTTCAAGCTCATGGTCAAAGTCACATTCGAATGTAAAATGGTCCGCTCTTACCATTTCCAGGATCAAAAATATACAGTTTAAAATTTTCAAGTTGACCTCTAAAATCATATTTAAAAAATGCATTCGAATCATATAAAAAAAAAATTAATTTCTGGTTCTTAATTGGCCACTTTGTACTTGAAATAGGGATGTATTTCAGTCTCATTCTCATTTGTAAATGCCATTTGAATCGACTACTGATGATAAAACAGAAATTTTTTTAAAGCTTTTACTGCGGTGCTGGCACCACATTTGTGCTTGCTTTTAAACAATAGAACTTAGGGTTTACATGATGACGTTTGATTTACGTAAAGAAGCATTGATGTCTCAATGTTGTTAAAGTGCATTTTTAAATCCATTATTCGAGTAGTATGTCTTAGAAAAACAACAACAAAAAGATAGAATCACTCTCGTCAGCCTCGGACATAGCTCAAACCATTCCTAGAGTGAGGTGTTTTACCTTCCTAACCTTCCCCTCCCAATTTCTATTTTCAAGCACCATTTTTTATGAGTTTTGTGGCTACACCTTGTGTATTTTTTTAAATTGAAGAATACGAAATCTTATTTTCTTTTTAAGACCACCCGTTGCTCAGATCTCGTATCCCTCAAATTAACAAAATTGTGCCATGTTTTTTTGATTTATTGCAATAAGTAGAACCTTATATACTCACGTGAAATTCTAAAGTACTTTCCATTAGCGGTATCTAGTTTGTTTTATAAATTTTGTGATTGGAGTGTGTTAAAAGCGCGAGTCACACTGTCAGTAGTGTAGAATTTTTTGTATACAGTAATCGTCTAGCAGTTTTGATATTTTTTTGTATGTATATATATGTATGTATATCTATGCTGAGTTTTGTACAGGCTTTCTAGATAGGTGATAACAGACTGTAACTATTTAAAAATAAATTTGCTAATTTAAAATATTTTGATTTTTGATTTCACTACCATTATTATAAAATATACAAGATTACATAACTAAATTGGAGTTCGTTAGATTATAAATGATTTATTTCCAGTTTTCCCTTTTGCTTGTGTAACTGAATTAAGATTGAAAAAATATATTGTTTGATGCAGTGACCTAGAGGTGTAAAGACGATTTTAAACAAGGGGAAAAATTGGAAGAAGAAGCAGAAGAAATGCAACAAATGTCAAATCCATCAAATAAAAAAAATGTGAGGTTAGGTTACTTCATTGTATTTTTAAAATAGTAGAGAAGCAAAAAATAAAAATAGTATGCATGCAAACATAAAAATGTTTCCAAAATGACGTTTTATTTAAAACCTCCCCGAGGTTTAGTAAATTTACACGTTTTCCAGACCTGTGTTGAAGAGAGACTAAACTGCTATGATAATATCAACAGAAATAACAATGCAGATGCAGAAATATGTAATTTTCATTGCTTGGTCGAAGATAGCCCTTTAGACAGAACTGGACATTACTTGTTCAGACTTTACGCATACTTGAGCACTGACTTTCGACGGATCTTTTTAGAGAATGAAAAGAAGTTATTATTGCTGCGATTGCTATGTTATAAGAAAGAAGATATTAAATATTTCCTTAAGAGGCTATTGAAACATTCAAAGGAATGTGTAACTCAAGATAACGTACATGTAACCGTAAAAGATATGTACTTATTATTTATTTCTCTCTGTTCGCAAATGTTAAATCGAGAATATTTGAATCATATTATTAAAGAAGTTCACGTAGGTTCAGAATGTGAAGGATTCACATTAAAAGGTATATAAGTAAGGTGCACTTGATCTCTGCACTATCTTTTCCTTTTTTTTTAGTTCCATTTTATCAATGTGCTTCTTTAATTGTTCACAGAGAAGTGAATTTGAAAAATGGATTTGTAGAAATAAAATGCACAGATTGGAAGAGATTATTTTTATCTGTTTATGAAACTTACCTGAGGAGAGCTTTAACTGAAATGAAATACAGCCAAAATGTACGACTCGCAGTAAATGATGTAAGGATAAGAAGCACTTTTAAAGTTATACAAAATCATTGGTTTAAAAACGAAGGCAGCGAGAACGATAGTAGACTTAATTTTAATATTTCCAATATTGATGCCGAATCCAAATTATTTCCTCTGTGCGCGTTAAATCTGTATAAAGTATTACAGAAAACTAATAGGTTGTCTCATAATGATAGGTGAGTGTGAAAAATGTTGGACTTGGATTAATTACATTGGACTTAATTAATTTTTTATATTTGTAGGTTTGATTTTAGTTTGTACATGAAAGGAATTGGAATATCGTTGAGGGACTCATTAAAATTTTGGGAAAATACTTACACTAGACAACATAGTTCTTGTTCAAAATGTTCGCATAATTGGAAGGACAATGAGAAACGTTATATTTATGGGATACGTCACTTGTATGGTCTTGAAGGATCAAGAAAGAATTATACAGTTAGGTCTTGCAACTTCTTTCAAGTAAGATATTAGTTGCTGTTACATAAAGTAGAATTTAAAATACTAATTCGAAAAATATTGATATCGGTGATTTTCATCCATATGAGCGAAAAGTGGGTGAATTTTGTTGTAACGAGCAGTTTCTGTTCTTATTTGTCACTTTTTAGGAAAAAATACTCTCCGCTACAGAAGATGGCGGGTGTCCTTTCAAACATTTCGATGATAGTAATCTAAGACAAGTGTTACAAAAACTCCTTCCTAGCAAAGAGGATGATGTCGAAGTTATGATATACGAAAGGAAAGAGAATCCTAGTTTAGCTTGCAAATTATTTTATGAAAATGTTTTTAAAATTATTACTGATAATTGCATTGCCGACAATATTAGTTTCAGCAACCCTGTAGAATATTATCTGTCTCTGAAAAAACATATTAGTAAAAACAGTATAGACAGTGCCATTCAGGCTGTAGGACCGGTGGCAGTTGGTGAAAAATAGTCATATTTTGATAATAGTTTCTTGCATCAATACATAAAGATAAATGAATTAATCCATACAAAGGAAATATGTTTCACCTATACCTCTGACTTTCGGCACATACAGATGTATATTTTTTAATCTCAGTGTGATAAAATTGATCTTTATTTTATATAATTTTATAAAAAATTCTTGTGTTATTGATCTATCAATTTGTAGGATTTTATTTAACTGATCTTGTATATGTAATTTTGTCAAATAAAACAATTATTTTGTTAAATAGGGGTTTCCATTAAAAAAATCATTTTGGTACAATTTCTGGAAATCAAGGAATTTCCACAAAACATGAATATTTTTTGGATGAGTTTTTACCCTCCAATAGTCATAACAGTAGATAGGGACACATTTAGGAAAATTAAAACGGGTACCATTAAAAATCATAAAATTCTAAACGCAAAACATAATTTTACTCCTTTTCTATTAAAACAAAATATTCCATGGTATATAAAACTCGAAAATAGTAAATAAATTAGTCTATATCAACCTATTTGGATTTCGAATCACTAGATGTACTGCTGTTGTCTATGCTATGTCGTTTATACAAGGCTCCATTGCTTCATCCATTATATTATCGATTTGCCACATTTTCACCTCCATTTCTTGCCATACATACTGAACACATTTTTTCCACTTGTCTGGAGTAATATGCAGTATCGCTTCTTGCAAAACATCAGCAAATTTAAATGAGGTTTTGTCTGCAACAAAGTGCTTTATGTCGGACCAGACGAACTCAATCGGGCTGAGTATGCAGTGGTACGGCGGCAATCGTAACACAATTTTATTTTCCGCTTTTGCCATTTCGTCAACGATGTATTTATTATATTGCTTCTTGTTGTCATTTACAAGACGCAGTAATTGGGCCTTTACCATCGTATCGTCGAATGGTATATTTTTTGAATAAAGCCACTCTTGGATATCACATTTTTTTGAGGATGTTCTGGGAATTTTATACAACTTTCTGCAATGATACGGAGCATCATCTAGCACGATTACGGAGTTTGCTTCCAGTTTAGGTAAAATACTGGAAAACCACTTCTCAAAAGATGGGCAGTCCATTTCGTTGGAGTCCCTACTTTTTTTAAGCTCGAATATGCACAGAGCATCAGGGAGAAAACCATTTTCGCTGCCAACGTGGCAAATTATAAGCCCTTTATCTAAAAAAAATATGTTTGTTACTTTAATGTTAATTGTAAAAAGTAATTACTAAAAACTAAGGATAGTTGTAAAACCAAGAGCTGGGTTTTTTTTGTTCAAAATTGTTTTATTTGTGAGTGTTAGTTCCAGATCTTTGGGATATTTAAAAATATTTTAATAATCTTAAATCACATACTTTTTACCTGACGGATTTTTTAATCCAACAGAAAAGCTGTCCAAACATGCTTGTCTGGATGATGTAACAGACTTTTTGGGTTTTGTATGGCCTGCATTGATCCATGTTTCCCCAAGGTAGTAAATTTTGCGATTTTCGTTTCTGTATCTTTTAATTGTGGTTAAATAGCCTCTCCTCCAACGTCTAATTTCATCCCTGTCTAGCAACAAGCTACTGTTTTGACATTTTTGAAATTTGAATTTTAATTTTTTTAGTATTTTTAAAAAAGTGGTTTTTTTAAAATTAGGTAAATTTGGATCATTATTAACAGCTTGTAATACTTTAACAATTGATGGACTTTCGTTCCTAAAAAAGAAGTCGTAGACTTTTCCCCTTATTGCAGTTTTATCGAAATTGCATATTGAATCGAATGTTGTCCTACGATTTTGAACTGATTTTGGAGCAGATAGAGTTCCTGTAATTTTATATTCCTTGATTATATTCCGAACGCTGCGGTTACATATCCCTGTTTTATGTGCTACTCTTTCCTCAATATCGCCAAGAAATATGTCTGGATTTTTCAAAATTTCTGTTTTATAAACATTTAAAACAACTTTCTTTATTTTCACATTGAGATGTCCTATTCTCCGCCTCTTTCTGGGAGGATTTGCAGTATTTGTGCCAGTCACTTCATCGGCAGAATCGGTACTAGACATCTTAAATTAATGAACATAAAACTGCGAATACACAACACATTAAATTAAAACTATAATACAATGCGAAGGTACAGCTTTCATTAGGACTTATTATAGTTTTCTTTTTTTTGACGAGATCCAATTTTCATTACTTTACTATTATTGGTGTTTCTAGGATTTTTCAGGAAACCCTTGAAGAAAAAAAAATTCTAGGTATATTGTTGTTTTAATCATAATAAATTACACAATCAAAATTTCATACCACTTCTTGTCCTTTTACCATACATACACATTTTTAGCGTATAATGCACACTTTCTTTGTAAACAAAACATAACCCATACATTTGACAGTACTGTACTGTCAGGGCCAGGGCCCGAGAACTTATACTTGAAAATATGGGGACACTGGGAACCACGTGACTTGAGATGGATATACAAGTTGGGGAAAGAGTCTATAGATGTCGCCACAAAGATTTTGTAGAATAAATTTTGACAATTGCAATTATGAATCATTCATGTCATTCTTATTGCTCATGTTTATTGTTGGTTAGGTTTGGCGAGTGTTGGTGTGTGTTTTATTTGTGTTTTTAGTGTGTTTTATTAGATATTTCATTCACATTTATTTATATAACATAATAATGTCTGATCATCATATAATCACATTTTTTTATTAATAATAAAATGTTTTGTTTTGTTTGTTTTTAATAAAAAATGTGATCAGAGGTAGGTAGTTTTTTTTATGGATATCAACACAACGAAAAATTTAAAGTTGCATAATAAATCTCTATTACAAGAATTAATCAAAAATTGGTTTAGTAAAATTATTTACTTGTAATATTTTTTTATTCGCCGTGAAAGCTAATACAATATAGAAAGCACTGAAACTCTATAATCATTTCCACTCTTTTTTTTTCAAAATATGTACTGAAATTTGAAATTTTTTCAACAAACATTTTAAAAAGTTACAGTATCAAAATTATTTCTTATTTTAAGTAGGAAGACTATTACAGCATTTAAAAGTGTCTTTAATGCTTGAGTGATTTTAATGCTTTTTATCAAATGTACTTATTTTCTCATGGTGACAAAAAAAAATTATTTACGTGAAAATTATTTTACAAAATCAATTTCTGAGTAATCTGTGTAGGGTGAGATTTGTTATGTAATTTTAAATTTAGCGGCGGCAGAATACCTAAAACAAATATTGAGTAGGTAGGTATATAGTTGTAGAGCGTACAACTAGATGGCGCTTGCATCTTTTACCGGCTATAGGTAATTTAACTCACTGTATTACCGATAATTCCTAGAAAAGGAAAGCAATAGAAGTTGGAGAAAGTGTCAACAGTTAGCGTTGTTAATGACCACGAAATTTGTTCAAGTTTCCTATCTATAGTATCATTTATCTAGGTGTACTGTCAAACGTAAATCAATGTACTCATCAGCGTTGCCAACCAAATAAAATCAGGAACATGCTCAACTTAAAAAACCTGAAAAATAAATTTTCACATCAAAATAAATATTTATTTATGCTGTGCTTTTACTTTGTAATAAATTCTATGTCGCCTAGAAAATGGCTGCTCCCTTCAGGGCTGTCAACTCTGACAAAACAATATTTTGAAAATTCGACAGCCAGTGGTGAAATTTCATTTTACAAAATTTCCCATGAATTTAAAATATTGAATTTAGGAATGTACTTACCCTTAAATAGTTTAATTAAACTTTTTGCGTTAATTTTGACTGAGAAACACATAATAGAAACCGAATTAAGGGACACGCTATTAATTTGTTTGCTCTACAACAGCGGTCTTCAAACTTTTACGACTTACGGAATACGGCCAACTATGTATGTAATATATTTATAAATAGGTACTTCGATTAACAAAATCAATATTCCACTAATTAAAAACTAAGACTTTAAAGTTTAAATGACTGGGATGTGCTTGTTAAGCTCTTATAGTAACTTTTAATTAAGAGTATAATTTTTTTAATTTTGTAGTATCGATATTGTTAATTTAAAATTTCTGAATTTTTAACTGATTGTGAGTCGCAGAATGCCCAGAGAGATTGCGTGGGAACCCCAGAGTTCCGCGGAACACAGTTTGAATTAAATACCACTGGTCCACAGAAAGGTCATACCTACGTATCCGATTTTATTGTTTAATCGATGATTTTATCATTGTAGGTCACTATTGGCTGAATAATACAAAACAGTAATTTCATAATTCTTTATTTTTATTATATACATATTTACTTTATAAGGGCAACGGCCAAAAGTACCTTACAGTGTAAGGTACTGTGGTATAATTTTTGTACTTATTTGTTTAACAATTTTGATTTTCACTGAAATATCTCAAATAAATAATTTATACCTACACACACTAAAACTAGTGAAAACAGAACTGTCAATGTATCTTTTTACAACCCTAATATCTTATACATTTTATAATAAGCTCTAGATATATTTATTTAATAAAAAATGTGAGTATTAAGAATAGGAAAAAATAGAGTTACTTAGATGCCTACATTTAATTTTTGTAGATAAAAAGTAAAATCCTCAGATATCTACATTGTTTTCTACTCTATTTGATGAAGTTCATGTGCAAATGGTTCATACAAAGTTAACGTTAATTGAGAATGAATATTTTTATTCAATTTTAACCCCTTGAAAAAATTATTTATACGTTAAAAAAAATTCAGCTAAAAACATTAAACATCAGACATATTTTCGCGGCATACAATTAAACAGAGCATATAAAGAAAAATAGGGAAAGTATATCTTTTTTGAGCCAATAAAGTTGAGTATCAGTCGCAAATCATTTATTTAGACAGTTTTTGTGCTAATATTAATTTTAATTATTACAAACAGGCAGTCAGTTTTGTATTGAGTTAAGCTCCTATCATTTTCTTTACAGTGTAACCTGGTATAGAATAAAAGAATAATAGTATAATTATTGCTAAACCTATGATAATGAAAAGCTTCAGTATAGTCCACTTGTAATTGTGCCATATAATGTACCTGATTGACTTCAGCGGATTCATGAACCACATAAACGAGGAATCTGGTCGGCTGCAAAAGAAAAAAATATATTTTAGTAATGATTACATTGTAAATAGTATAGGGTAAATTAAGAATAGATATTTCACTTTTTTTAATGAATAGATACATGTTACACATTTAAGATTCTCCCAGTGTCCTATATACCTACTTACTTTGGTTTTTCTAAGGGATCTGGTTCATTTCTACCCATGCCAACAGGCACTTTCTCTGCTTCCTCCTTGGTTAACAAATGGATTTCCGCTTCCACCTTACCAGTCAATTCCATTTCCTCGTTATCTTTTTTTACGAAGAATGGCCACCAACCTTTCACCCTTTTCTGTTTAAATATGTTTACCATAGGTACAGAACCGTCAGTCTTTAACATGTCTAATGTACAAAGCTTTGACGATTTCGCTCCTCTGGGAAACCGATTGAGATCCAGAGTTATGGCTCCTGCAATATAACAATTAGTTGAGAAGGTGTATGTTGCTCCTAGATTGTATTTTTTATTTAGATAGTATTATGAAGGCTACTTCAATGTTAAAAGTACAGAATTGCCATCAGTATTACCATACATGAGTAGAATAGTTCGATGAACAAAATGCAGAAGAGAGTTAATTGAAAAACTGAAAATTTTGATTCTCGACTTCTCAGTTTCCAGCTTAGGCGTTTCCTTTCGTGTCATATTCGTGCAAGTGGGAAAAAACGTGTTATTATGTTCACGTTTTAGTTATTCCAGCGTGTTTTTAAAAATGGAATTGTGTGTTAGTGGCTAATCTGTTTAATAATCAGAGTAGTCGTAAATAACCGAATTGAACAGATCAATAATGTTGTATGATAAAAAATCTTTATCATGCTTTAAATAGTGCTAAATGTTTAAAAGAGTGGAATACGTGTCAAGAAAAAATGATATCTTTTAATGGTTAAATGAAAAACATACAGTGTGACCCATTTGTTAATGTTAATGTTAATTAAACTCTAGTAATGTGGTATTTTCTCACCCAGAAAATCGTCTGCTGAGAAGTGGTCCGCATCCCATACTTGTAATTCCAATCTTGCGGGAATTTTACATTCCGTCTCGTCCCACGAAAAGAGCGACTCCTTTCTGGATATCACAATTTTTTGTTCGGCTACCATGTAATCGAACGGGAATATGAACCTCCAGTTGAAATTACCTTCACCGGTTAACGAGCGATAATGAATGTCTGTACACTGACAGTCTTCTTGACCTTTTAACCACCTATCAATAATATAAAGGTATCAATTCTCATTACCGAAAAGGTTGACGAACTTACGCAGTCAAAGGACAGTATAAATTCGATTTTTTTCAAGTTGTTGTTCTTGGGCTAGGCTGTGTAGTGGCGAACATAAATATCTACTTACCCTTTCACGTAAATATCTGACATTTTTTCACCGGTGAAGAAAGCGTCATCTTCCAGTACAACATCGTCTGTATTCCATATGATGACTCTCATTTCGTAACTCTTAGGCTTCCTGGGCGATATGTCAAGCGGTGGGCCGGGTAACGGCATGTCCATTGGAAACATGTCGACCCACATTTCTAATTTTCCCTGTTCTATGCCAGGCTTGTCGGGGTTGTAGAGAGGCCTTGTTTCCACATGCTCCGGAACCAAGGCACAGCCTATCTTGGTGAACTCGTCCCACCTGGATTTGCAGAGACAGAGACTTCAGAGAGCTCAGTTTAATAAAAATGCATTTGAATAATTTCTTTATTTGCGAAGGCAGCCATAATAAAAAAATACTACAGAAAAGATTTTATTAAAGTGAAAAGCAATTTTTATTAATCAATCATTATTTTCTTAAATGTTTCTCAAAAGTAACGCGGGATTTGATTTCTGCACCAGTTTCATTCCGATAAGTTGGCAGCATTGTGCAGGATCACATGTTGTAGTAAACACGTTGCGGTTAGACAAAACGGAGAGTATGTAGCTGAGACTGTGCGCACACTACATGCAATTTTCGGTAGAAGGGACGCCCCGAATGAAACAACTGTGAAAGGATTAGTTACTAAATTTGAACAAACACCCTTTCTCCAAAACTGCAAAGTTTTAAGCGTAATTGTCCTTAAAAGCTTTGCTTTCGTCCTCGCAGGGACTATACTCGCCAGGACCCGCAATACAGGTCGTTTTCTGCCATTTTTTGGCCTCTTTGTGTCTCATTGTATCATCATGGGCCACTATAGATGTAGCTTTGAGTTACATCTTTTATTAATATTTATATTTACCTATGCAATACTGCCAAGGCCATGTGTTCTTCCGCTTCCCTCGACCTGTAAAAGTCCACGTCTTCGGTCAGCACCGAAAAAACTTGTTTGCCAATTTTCACCTGCCCGTCTGCGTAAACTGGAGGTTCCACCTTGGCGTCCTTACAGAGTTTTGCTAGGGTCTGGGTCGGTTTCATAGCGTCCCTCCAAGCGTTGTAGCCCTGCCTTAAATTGCATATCCACACGTTAAAATAACGTACAATAGTTAGGTTTGAAGTTTCAAAACTTTAATATAAAATGCAATTATTATTTTTTGCAATAATTATCCATATTTGGCACTATCACTATCCCACTTCTGATGTTAGAAATCAGTTTAATTTCTAACATTTATTTGAAAGAAGAATATCTTGTTTAATAATGACGAAATACCTTATCAGGAGACTTTTTTAAAGTCATCTGTAACGTTTTTTGAAATTTATGTCTAGACCGGCAACTTGAAGCTTAAGCTTTAGTTCTGGTTAAGGATTTGAAATTGTCCTTCATAAGTTATCCATAAGATAAGAATTTAGTACTAGAATCACATTTCAAAATACACTACGGGTACTTTCAGTAATGAAATGTCAGCAGTTGATCGAAGGATTAACGTCGAAGACAAACTACTTGGTGGGAGATAACAGTAACTCATTGTCTTGAAATAACGGGTTCTGTCTAATATCTTGCAAGCTAAGCGCTTGCACTACGTGCATTGCCTTCCCACAGGGGATTAAGTCTAAAACGTGACCGAGAATAATTCATTTTAAATGGACGTCTATCGATGTCGTTAATAAATTGGTAACATATTTCTTGGAAAGACAGATAAATCAAGTTTCATTTAGCAACTCATCCTACTTGAAAACGTTATTATAGATTACAAATAAACAAGTAATGACCAGTGGGGTAGGTAAGGATCGTGATATATGATTCATATAACAATAAATAACACTTACTCCTCGTATTTCTCCGGGAGGCCGCAACTGGCCCTGTGCCGACTGTAAAATCTATTTTCTAAATCGATTTTCGTCTCGCCAACCATGTCATCGGAACCGACCAGGTCCCAGTCGTAAATCTGGACCGTCAGTAGCGAATCTTGCGGAAAAGTTGCCTCGATCTCGAAACATCTGGAATTGATCGCCTTATTTATTACACAGGTGAATTATAATTTCTAGTACAATTTTTCCAGATGTGTGTTCAGACACACACAACTAGGCTTCAAGACTTCTGATTCGTGCCTCGAAAAGTTTTCGGTTTTTATCCTTGTCCCCAGGTACCTACTTTTATTACCCTATCTTAATTAACACTTGTCCGGGTCATTACCTACTCGGTTTGTGCTTATGTACCCTAATGAACAACAACTAATTTATGTTTACAGCCTACTTATTCTAATCTCATTTGCTAAATACATTTATTTGGGATAATATCGGATAATTCAAAATGTAATTTATATGGCTCGTAAATTCCCAGAAAGCAAAATATATTTATTGGGGCAGACACTAAATGTAGTTGAAGCGTACCGCTACATATGTTAGGCAAGTAAATTTTTTTTAAAAAGCGTAACAGATTTAGTCATAGGCTTCTCAAAAAGCGCCAATTGTATTGTGGAATAGTCAGTTTTAATTTAGGAATTGTACTGTAAATGAGTAATATTATTATTAATTAACTTATTTGTATTTGAGCACATTGAATTTTTATGTGGTTCTTATTTCTTTTCCCAAGTCTAGAGCAAAAATCAGATAATAACATAAAAAAACAGTTGTGTAGGCAATCGCACCACCGTGTTAATAAAGTGATTGCGCAATTTGACCCTCCCTGCAATTTAAATATTCTAAGAGGGTAATTTTGTAGGGTAGGGGACTGAAACTGGATTCGTCACGATTTCGTTAAAATGTGCACCCCTTGATTTGGTACTTGACGTGTTCCAGCGATTTTTCAGAAAATTATTACTTGCAAATTTATTCAAAGTAGCTAATTTTCGTTGAGACTTCGCCATCTCAAATTCAATTTACTGAGATAAAATAGAAATTTTCTTTATTATATATTTTTAGTATTGACTTTTGTAATTTTACTTTACTTTAAAAGGCATTAAGAGAATACCAAATCATGTCTAATTCAATGCTGGACGAGGCTTTAGTCAGCAGAGTAGTTGTTTCTTACAATATATACGATGCTGTCAGATATCATATACAGGTGATTCACAAATGGTGACCAAAAATGAAACGCTCGTATTCTTTGGTGAATTTAAGGGAAGTCTCCTATGATGTTTTTAACACCTTCGATATTCGAATATAATGCTTTTTAAAATTATGTAGTGGGATGCCTACTTACTTGCCAAAGACCGGATTGAGCTGTTTCGAAATATAATTGTCTTTATCGCTTATCCTTTTCGATCCCAATTGTAACACTATGTATGGATCCGCTTTACCGTTCAAATCCATCGGATGCAAGTCGTTCGCTTTAACTATGTACACCCTGACTAACACCCTGATGGGGTCGTTCGAAGGCAGTCCTTGAAAGAACCCGTACTGAGGGTCGAAGCCCATTATCGTTTTGTCGTCTATGTCTTTCGGTAAAGGCCATTTGTACACTTTTATAGCACCCTGAAAAACAAGTGTGTTTTAAATATTAAGGCTTACATTTTGACAGAAACGAATAGAAGATGTATTCATAACAGTTTCGGCAATGTTATTTAAGTAACAGTAATTCAATTATGTCGAGTGTATACTTTTATTCTTACCTTAAAATAACCAACAACTCTACTCTCGTCTTCGAAATCTTCTCCAGTCTTTTTTCCTCTATATAGTTCGAATGTATGCAACCATTCTTTAAATTCATCAAATTCTGGTCTTTGCTCTAACTCCGTAGGATATATCTACAAAATATATGTATATGTACAGAGAGTGTTTGAAATAGATGCGCTGTTTCAAAGGACTCACAGAAAAGGTGAATTTTTACATCTTTTAGTGCCCCTTTGATAGAACGTACTTATTTCAAAAACAGCCTGTACATATACATGTACCGTTTATTTAACACTTTTCAGTAAGCAACGTATGGTTTAAAGTGTGATATTTTCAAAATAAAAAAATGTCAAATTAAAGAAATTCCTTTTAGCTCGACAGAGTCTCCTCCATTAAAGACTTTTATGCGTAGCAGTTACACAACATTTACTACAGAACTTATCTATGGTTTTACAGACAAATTACCTTACACAGCACCGGTTTGTATTTGCTCCGCTTCCTGACGCTCTTGGGACTGATCCTGGCGGCGAACCTCGACGCCGTCGCCGCCGTCTTGAATCCGAACCGTTTTCTTTGCTCCCCTTGGCCCGGACTCTTATCCGAACTGTTTCCGGAGTGGGGATTGTTGTCGTCGTCGGTGTAGACTTGCAAATTTCCGTTCTGATTAAGGACCTTCTTCGCCTCCTTTGAGTCCTCTATCATCCTCTCTATCGACGCAAAGTATTTCGTCCACCTAAACGATAAATTGCCTTGTTTCTTCGAAATTAGCACAAAAGGTACATCATTTTTTTTTAAAGGAGCCTAAGTTTGTTAAATAGTCATTGGGAAAATATTTCTTTTACAAACCAATCTTTGCTATCTTCTTCGTCCTCGACGTCGTCATCAATGCTGTGTTTCCTTTTCTTGTTTAACTCGGTCTTCATCTTCTTTGTGGCATCTTGCGTTCCATAACCTAAATAGAAAAAACGTACCAAAATATAAATGCACCTGCAAATAATATAATGAAAAGCTTAAAATAATCATTAATTAATTTAATAACTTTATCATAACAAATGTATAGTAGGATCGTATTCGATGGAAAGTAGAGCAAAAAGTTGTCGGTCTTTTATCAAAGGAAAATCGTATCATCAATTTTAGGAGGCGTAAGATGAATCATTTCAAATTTAAAATGAAATTAAATGTTATTCAATTTCTAAAACCCTTAAAAGCGTATGGCACTGGATCCCTTGTTAGGCAATGATTTATTACTTTGCATCGAATATGATCCTATTATAGAGCTTTAGCGATTTTAAAAAAATGTTGATAGGTGTTAAATATTGAAGCAGAAATAAAAAAATATCGTATGAGGAAGGAACCTACCTATTGAAATGGATATATCCTTAGGCAGTAAAGGACTCTTCTCTTTGTCACTGTTGCTGCAAGACACCTTAGTCGGGGATATTTGGTTGTTTCCTACACTGCAATCCAATGCTTTCAGTTGGTTCAGAGATTTTTTCCTCTCCTCCGCCTCCCTTTCTTTCTTCGTTAAGGGCGTGTACATGTACTTGTGGATAGAATTGATCATATGTGTGCCTACAAGGGTGTACCTTCCAAAACTTCTGCAGTCCACTGCACGAATCGTCAGCGGTGGCCTGAGTGAAAAAGGCAGTATTATCAGTATCGTTGCACACAAGAAAATTAATGTTACTTTTATTATTAATAAAATAATCCGAATTCTTGACGCACGCACCGATTTTCATGAAATTTGGTGAGTAAGCTCATTTCACCCTCCTTTACGAAAGTTACATATCGATAATGTGTGCTTATTGTTTTTAGGGGGTGAAAACTATCCTTTCTTGCAAAAAACGTAAAAATCATATATTTAAGTGTTATGTCAATAGAATAAGCATTCTTTTATGTTTTGAATAATAATTTTTGATTTGTAACAACATTTCAACCCTTAAAATCCACAACTTATGAGGAAAAATGTTTTGACTGAGCAATAATGAAGAATTGAATATTTTTTACTGTTTATGAAATAATACATGATTTATTGCAACGTTTCAACCATCCTTATTGTAGAAAATAAAGCAAAAAATTTTTTTCACATCTTCATAGCATTTATGAAAAACTCGTCACTGTTTATAATATTACTGATGATTCATTGCAACGTTTCAACTTTAAATACAACCCTTAATAAGGAATTGAAGAATTTTTATCTGCTTGAAAACACTCAATGATACATTACTAAATTCAACGAGATTACTTAAAACTCCAAACATAAATTATGTAATTAGTGAAAGGGAAAACAAAAATTATTTGTGTATTATACAATTATAGTTTATTATCAGAAATTTACATATCATCTAAAGAACTATCATCACTGTCGACTTCCTCTGTTTGAACATGTGCGTGTGTGTGTTTGTGCGTGCATTACGCCTCGGAAACTATCGGAAATTAAGCCATTTACACGATCCGACAATTTTCACTGAATAATACAATTCGTTTTTTCACGATCACTTTTTAATTTTTAATATTTTTCATCGCTCCAAAAAGCAGTTTGCAGGGAATTGCAAGAGCTACAAATCAATCTAAAAGTTGAAGGGTCTTGAACTCTTCGGTTTCGAGATTTTTAGGTTTTAAGGGCTCAAAGAAGGTGGTCCTTACACGCAAATGCAAACTAAAAAACGTAATATCTCGGTTAATTTTGCTCTACAGAAAAATTGAAAGAGAGCAAAAATATTATAAACAAAAAGACCTTTAATTTTGAACACTTACATTTTTCACGTATCTTGTTTAGTTTTTGAGTTATTTCGACAAAAATGAAATTTTTTTAAAAATAATTTTTTTTTTTTCATTATTCCAAACTTTTTTTTAATTTAGGCATTCTAAATCGGTCAAACTTGCAGAGCCTATTATTAGTAGGTACCTAAATCAAGTCAACTTTACATGGATTACGCTTAGTTTCTAATTTTATGGTTCAGCCATAGATTTTAATGTTGATTTTTTCTCCGAAAAAATGAGACGACCATTTAGCACTGTAAAAAAGGGTTATATTAATTTTCTTCGAAAAATTAGTTCTTTCGCTATTATTTCACGGTAAAAGGTTCGATTTTACTTTCCGTAAAATAAACAATCACCTTTAGAGAGTGATAACTCGGTTATTATTACATCTACGGTAATCAACAAAAAATGAATCGATTCGTTATTTCAAAAGCTTTATTTTTGCTTAATATGGGTTTTTCGATAAAACGCAAGATTTTTGAGTTATTTATCAAAAATGGTTGAAAAACATGCACTTTTTAGATGAAAAATTTTCAATCACTAATAACTCGGAAAATATTAATTTTTGGAAAAAACGTTATAGAGCACTTTTTGCTTAGAATTTATCCCTCTATTGGTTATTGATGGGTGCCTTCATTGCCACCCCCGAGAAGGGGTGGCATTCGCCCCCAGGGTGAAAGCACGCATCGGCACTATGCAACATTTATTTCTTGGGCAATTTTCTACTTACTGTTAAAATTTCACGTCAATCGGTGCATGTGTCAAGAATTCAGACCTAAAAACCGTCATATAGGTACTGATAAGTATTTCAACATTAGCTCTACTGTATATCTCATCTATATTACTTTATTCCTACCTGTACAATTCCTGCTCGGGTAGATCAAGATCAAGGAACTTCACTGGAGTGCTGAAGTTCGGATTCTTTTTATAATTTTGGATGATGCTGGAATACAGAATGTGGCCAGAGCACTCAATATCAACTCTGGGCTTATCCACGGTTAGGAGGTGGATCCTTTTCAGATCCCGCAATCCCCAGAAAAGCACCTCGATGCGGTATCTGGCCAGCGTCGGTCTTATCCCTCGCGGCACGGGTAAGAGTGGACCTACGTGTTTGGGGTCGGTCTCGTGGTAGATCGGTATGTCTTTGGGGTGAGGCAGGGCGGGCAGGGATCCTCCTTCTATTTCGTTGGGGAGTTCTAGCAGCTCGAAGGTTGCTAGGAGTTCACCAGCGTGGTCAGTCCCTCGCCTTATCGTGAAACTAAAATTGTTACGTCCTTTTATAAAGTTTTTAATCAACTTGGATTGTTTGGGCATTCGGAGCGATTCAAGTTTGGGTTAGAGCAGGTTGGAACGTTTTAATAATTTTTTTTTAACCTAGTACCTGAAAAGAGAATGGCAAATAATGCCATTTCCGGTTATCGTACGCACGGGGTTTCCTCCAAATTAAATACCTACTAACCATTCCAGGGAGGGCGGAAATCTCGGCTTGGCATACGGCTCGTCCCTCAGCTTCACGAGAGGCTTCGCCAGCGTTCTCCCGATGAATTCCGATTTGCCCACTTTGTCCTGATCAAAAATTTCAATTACGATCGGCTGGGGCTCGTGCTTTATCTCATCGGCCGTTCCGTATATCAGAATCTCCTCGAAAATTAACAGCTCGTCCCAAGTGGGGCTCAACGTTTCGTCGATTACTTGGGTCGTTCTGCAGAATTCCCCGGCTATGATGCGCGCGAACGGATCGGACAGGCCCGAGGCGTCGCTGCCGATCAGAGACCTGGCTTGGTAAACGTGAGCGCGAAGCTGGAACATCTGGAAAGGGGAAATATTAGAGTTGTTTTAGATTTGCTTTACTGAATTATAAGAATTTTTAATTATTAATTAATCGAAAATGGTTTATTCTTCCAACGAGATTTGTTTTCATTGAAATATTACTTAGTAAAGATTAAATGCTGCACATATTAACACAAAAATCTTTTTAACATCATAAAACGGTTAAAAAAAGTGAATCACGTCTGCAAAGTTTTAAAAAAATGGTTGTATGGGGAAAAACCCATAGAAATATCAACATCCATCTGAAGCAGTCTGACGTCACGATGCGGAATAGGCTGCCGCGCGAGAATTGGTGGTTAGGTTAGGTTTTCATGTAATAGTCTCTTAGGTTTGCCTTTACTGATGTATGCGTACCATTGTATCCTTTGTTTTACAGTTTGATTAAATTTTAATTAATATAAACGGTTTTTAAGAAAAAATACTCGTTTATTTCGAATTTTAAACACATAATACAAAAGTAAATGATAAATAGCTTAAGTATAATACACATATTTGATTTCTCCCGAAAATTTCTCGGTCTCCGAGATAGCAATAAATAACATTAATGTGATTTTATTAAAAATTAATCTTTATAATTTAAATATTAAAAAGTTAAAAGTATGTATATTTTAAATTTCCAATATTTCCATTTACCTAAAACTTAATAAAAACTTTTGTAATTTTATTTTTCATCGATTGTTTTGAACTTGTTTCATCAAAAAAATTATTGATGCATTTGTACTTCCAAAAACAAAACACTCACTTTTACACTGTTTTTCATGTTATCGTCACAAATAAAAGTGAAAAAATTATACTCAAATAAAGAATCTAACCTAAGGTAAACGGTAAATGGGTTCAGCTGTCAGTTGGTGGTCCATTCCGCAAAGCGACGTCATACGCGGACTCACTGGAGGTACCGTTTGCTAGCTTCGTTCAGTATAATTATTTTTTATTATTTTCAAGAAAAAAAAATTTTTACTTGTTTCTGTGATGTTAGGGACAAATCGTTTCAACGTTTTTTTTTCTACGTTGGCTCCTTATTCTGCCAATCAAATTTTAATGGGCTGTTATATTTCGGTACAGGAAACCATAAAAGTCTGACCCAAACGTCTCGCGGTGGTTTCTTATGCAATTTACTAGATCATCGAGCATCGAGGTGAAATGGTCGACCTCTATAAATCTACTTAAATGTGCCTGCACAAAGTATTCGGTAGAAAGTAATGTGAAAAGTGTGGGTCGGAATTTAGTTAGTTGCTGAAAGTTTAGTCATCGAGACGCTGGTTCTTTTTTTAAATGGACATTTAATGAAAGTCCTTCAAAACTTAGTTTCCAAGAAATCTAATATACTATTTCGAGTATGCATTAACAATCCTGAAATAGCTGTTAGTTCGTAGTTAATTAGGGCGTTCTTTCTACTGAAAATTCCAGGCACAGTCTCAGCTACACACTCTCAGTACTTGTATTTAATTTTCACAACCTTCATATGTATTGATGCCATTTTTTTTATAATAACCTACCGAAGTAATTTAATTTGCAGGAATAAGGAAAATATCCCCACTTCCAGATAAATATGCTTATACTTTTACAAGGGCGTTGCCAAGGGGGGCAGGGAGGCAGCTGCTCCTACTAGAAATTCGAAAAAAGTACAAAACTTTTCTTAAGCTAAGAAAACATTAAATTGGAAATTTTTATTTAAATATTTTATTTACTTAAAACTAATTTTGAAAATTAATATCCTGCTTTATTTTTTGTAAAAACAATTGTAATACTTAAATTAGTATAAATATTTGTTGACAAAAGAATTTAAAAATATAAAATTTTATGTTAAAAAGTAATAGTAGTAATAATAAGTCATATTTTAAAAATTTAGCTCTGGAATTTTAAATTAAAAAAAATAAATTTTTATCTATCGGATTCAGAATAAAAATTTAATAGCAATGGTGACTATAGACAGAAAGCTTATTTTTGACAACCATGAAGATTTTATTAATAAAGTGCTCAACAAATTTTCAAAAAATCCTAGATTATGTTTTACCTAATTTTCGTTGAATTTCTTTTTATATTTTTTGTATGTTTTTCTTGTTTTGTTAAAAATATTTCTAAAAAAAATTAATTCACCTATTTCTACCTATAATTTATATTTCTCCCATCCTCTCTCTTATCTTATCCCCCCCCTCCTAGCCCATTGCTGGCGACGCCCTTGATCTTTTGTACGGATAGCCTTACAACTTGGTTTCTTTTTTATCATAAAAATGGTAACTTTTCAATTTTTTTCCTCATACTACTAACAGTTTTTGAGTAAACAATTGTTTTATTAATCATCATCAATACATTTTCGATACAAATCTGATTTAATTGCCAGTAAAATTTTGATTTACTTGATTTGATAAAAACAACGAAATAATGGTTTGAAGCATTTACAAATTTATAGCCAGTATTTTTTTTTTATTTTCGTACCTCCAAAAGTGACGCCCGTCCTTCTGGGATTTGAATAAGGAGACAAAAAGGAATTGAAAGTCAAGAGTGGAAAATTTTCCGATTGTTTTTCTTCGTTGAGCTATTGAAAAAATTATTCAAAAAACCAAAAAAATGAAAATCCATTTTTTTGTCGCAAAACTGAGGTCTGTGCTTATGGGGACCAAGAGAAATAATTTATATCAATAGTAAGTAAGTATAGTCTCCGATTGTCGGTTAGACCTGAGTGTAAGGAATTATTTTAACCTGAAAAGGATAGAGAAAAACATTTTAATAATAAAAATGGAAAGGAAAAAAGTTATATACTAAAACCGTGATAATAATAGAAATTGTTTCTACAAAAGGTGTTCAAATAAGTTGCTCTCTACTTCAAGACAAAGATTATCACGATTCAACATTGAAGCATGAATTCTTTGTAACATCTCTTGGTCTATTAACGCGACAGCAGCGTGTATACGGGCTTTTCTGGATTTACAACAGGTTCACTGTCTTTTAAATAACCTCAGAAGAAGGGGATTCAGATCTGGTGATCTACGAGGCCATGGTCCACCTCTTCAGATCCATCTGTCTGAGAAGTTTTGATTCAGATAAGATCATACTCGTAAACAATAATGTGATGGAGCTCCATCATGTTGAAACCAATAATTTAGTCTAATTGCTAACGGAACGTCATCCAGCAATGGTAGTTGCAGTAAATACAGCTCTCAATTGCATAATTATTTAATAACCCATCCCAAATGTTTATTTTTAGTTTTTTTTGGATAATTTTTTTGAATTACTCAACAAAGAAAAAGAATCGGAAAATTTTCCAGTCTTAATTTTCGATTTGTTTTTGTCCCCTTAATCAAAATTCAGGACGGGCTTTTGGGACACCCTGTATAATTTCGGTTACTATAAAGAGAAATGGAATTTCCTTTTAAAAACACCCTATATATAACGAAATAAAGAACGCACCAGTTAATGTAAAGATTAAAGATTCTATTATTGTTCTGATGAATCAATTAACTCACATGCTTCTCGACGTAATGTATGATCGACGGCGGTAGCGCTCTCGGCCTCTCGACGTTTCGAATTTCCTGCGTCTGCTCGTACCCTTTAGGAATGCCGTTGATGAAATTCTTCTTGTGCTTCAGCATGCCCAGCCACAGGAAGATCTGGAGCTTGGCCGGTATGGACCACCCGCTCGGCCCCATCCCCTTCTTGCCAGGCAGCTGTCGGAATAAGGAATATTAAATTGAAAGTGGAGCGAAAATGTATAAGGTTTCAGTCCCACTGAAATCCTTAAAGGAATATTACGTAACGCTATATAACTGGACTGGATGTAACTCTATATTGGTAGAATTCAATTAACTTCAAACATTGCTAAAGTAGATATAAATATTGAACGGTAAAATAAATTAAACTGGAAAATTTATCTAAATTTAATACAACTATACAGGATGTAAACGTGTAAATGTATTGTGGGCTTTAATTTACCTTCAAGAACATGGTTTGCACCTTTCCGCAATCTTTGCCGCTCTCCTCGTCCACTATTGAATAAATAATGTCCCTGGCCGCAATGCGTTGGTAGGCCTGCCTTTTTCCACCGCTGATGATCCAAAGGAATACATCAGGTAGAGCGTGCTGTGGCTGGAGTTGTTAAAAATTGACGTGAACAGGTATATATTTTTAGTATCACCCATCTAATTTGAAAGAGCATACAGAAGAGGCGCATAATACTCTCGCGTATTGTGGCGTGGTAAAGAGAAATGAGAAAGATCAACAAGCGCGGTGTGACTTTGATCCGTAAGGGGTTAGAAAATCTGGTTTATCAACATATTACTTCTATATTTTCTGGCGTTTATTCTTTGAAACGGAATATAGAACAGCGTAAGTGAAAACAATCAAACAAAAAAACGGGAAAATGTATAAGCGGAAACTACAGGACCAAATTATGTAAGAATAAATTTTTATGTACAAGGTGTTCTACTTAATGAGGTTCGATAGATTTCTTGCGGGGCAGACGGTGCAGGAGAGCCTACACACAGAAAATACTGTTGTAAAAATTCACACAATTGTTCCTAAAATCGCGACAGGAATAAATTGTATCAGACTTTCATACAATATTTTTTGAATATTTAAGAATATCTATAATTTGTTGGTAATAATTTTACAACTGTACAAAAGAATCACATTGTATATGTCAAATTTTCTAACAATTTTTTCCTGTCACGATTTTAGGAACAATTGTGTGAATTTTTATAACAATATTTTCTGTGTGTATACACGGGAGTTTCGTTGTAGTACCAACCTTACATAAACTAATTTGAGCGAACTAAATATAGTAATAAAATCAATATAAAAACCGTATGAAACAGACAGAATGTGGATTGATGAGAAAAAAGTAAAATGTGCAAACCGAGAATCCATATGATTACTGTCAAGAAGCTCAGTGTATGGCAATGAGACGTCGCCTTGTCAAATTGAAGGTTATGACAGAACGTCTATACTGTCCACTTTGCAAAAAGACCTTTCAATTTTTATTTCAAATTGCTATTATATTGCATTAGATCACGTGAAAATTTTATTTAATGTTAATTATTACTACATATGTTGGACCGCCTAGCCGGGTGTCTTGGCCGGTGGATTTCGATCTGCCAAGGTAAGCATCACGGACGCAGGCTGGAATTTGGATGGATGGGCAGGCTCGGGGACGTGGCTGTGGCAGCCTACCAGAGACCTGGGTCGCTCAACATTTGCCGCATGCGTGTGGTCCCCGATAAATGGTAATGAGAACAGAGCAAAGAAAATCTCTGTAACTCAAGACCATGCTATCATACATAAACTGTACGAGACTTTGCCACCAAGCCACCCGTGTAGTAAATAGGATGGTTTGAAGAAGTACTCGAGTAATGAAGGAGGGTATACAAGGGGCCTAAGTGCCGCAGTGGAAAAAACAATTCCACCACCCTCCGACATACATACATACTACATATGTTTTCGACTGGAATAATTTTATAGTCTATAATCGAACTATTCAAATGTAGCGCGTCAGTCGAAGCGTTAAATAAAGCGTACAGCGTTGACATATTTCCTTTCATTGGATCAGATGTTTGTTAAAATTTGTCAAAAAGTTATTTATTCATTCAATTATTTCAATAATTACATTGTAAGTGCATATTTTTATTGTTTTAAAATGTTTAGTAATATTTAATTCTTTAATTACAATTTTATTTTCCCGATCCTAACCATTTTTAAGAGCAATATTCACGTTTGATAAAAGTTTTATCCCTACTCTCATAAGAGCCTGTGTTTAAGAGCATAATTTTAAATATCATTTTTCAAAAAAACTACGTTGGCAATCGATCTGATATTTTTACACGAGGCATTTTGCATATTTATTAACAGATTTCAATTGCTTTGACAACTTTCTTACCATTTTTTTTTTCGGTATCGAACCTCCTTAAGAGGGATTCTGCGTTAGCTCTAGTATTCAAATAAAAGTATTCCAAATCAATTTTTTCATATTTTACTTACTTGTCTAATCTCACTTTATTATTTCAACGCCCTGTATACAAGTATTATTAATATTTTTTAATTTATTTTTGAATGTAAGGCTTATTCTGATATTAGATATAAGACATACCGTTTTGGAGGTATTTTATGATTAAACATGCCATTTGTGCATTATTCTAAATATTTTTCGGTAACTACATATTTCTGTTAAATAATATTTAGGCATCATTTTCATAATCCATTTCGGTGTCGTAAATTCCATTGTAATGTGCCATCCATTTGTATGTTAACACAGAAAAAAATAAGAAATATAGTATGAACATAATTATTATTTCCGTATTGTACGATAAATTGATTTCATCGTATTTTTTGTAACGGGAAATGATTATCGCTTTTCGTTAATGAGAAGTTTTTTTGGGTGAAGCAAGTAACGAGTGATAGGTACATGATATTAGTGAAATAATTACAAAAACATATTTGGGTATCATAAATTAGGCTTAGTGCGCGTGCAGAGTTTAACAGAGCCGGCACGGGGGTTGGTGGCCTTCATAGCTGACTCGCGTTTTGAACTGTTCGATTATTTACGGAACCTTGTAGTAGTTGGCGTCGCGTCGATACCTTTCTTGTTTACGTATGCTGTACACTGTATTCGCCATGTGTATTTAAATAGCTATTTATAAATAGTAACATAATTTACATTAACAACTATTAGTTGAGGGGAAAAGGGAAGAAAAATGCCAAAAGAGAAAAGAAATAGACGGGAATTATTTCAAATGTGGTTTGACAGTGATTCCGAAGATTACAGGGACATACGTATTAAAGGAAATGACCTGTTTACATATTTTCTGTAATTAATATTTTCATTTCATTCGTAATCTGACTACGGTCCTATTAAACTCCGCGCCCGCACTAAGCTTAGTCATAATAGAACAATTTGATCTATTTCTACACAATTTTAAAAGACCTGCTAAGATAATGGAATATTATAAATTGGCTCATTGTGTCAAAAAGAGTAAAAAATAGAAAAGTAAAACTAATATTTCAAGATATTTTTAGAAGACAACATAAAAAATGTATGGAACTTAAAACATCTCCACCCGAAAATATCACAATTTAATATAAAAAATGTTGACAATCAGATTTTCGGTAAATATAGAAAAGTAAGAGCATTTATTTTTGAAAGCCAAAAGCCGATAAATATATTCTCAACTTCGCCTTTCTGTGTAACATATTCCAAGTTCCCGAAAGCAAATACCGTATATAAATGAATTTATCCTACTTCGCAAACCACCTAAATTACAATCCGTCACCCTCCCCTGTATCCTCTCCTATCCTAATGCTCATCCTTATTCTACAACTTACGTCCTCCGTAAGAAATTTGAGTTTAGTCAGATACGTCTGGGATGTTTTATAGCGCTCCTTGAATGAACTCTTTGTTACGAGGGCTCGTAAATTCCTAGCAGCGATGCCGATGTTTTCCTGCGTAAAATATACGATTAAGAATTAATAGGACCAGGCCAGGGACCTGGAAGTTTGATCAGATGGGAAATACTGGGGATGGCTTTTAGTCCTCCCTTAAACATATCCTAATTTCAGGTAAAAGTAAACGGAACGAGGACCAAACAATAGTTATTTTTTTTTTATCTAAAACGCGAAATGGTATACTTTTGGGTTCAAGAATTAAGTTATCCGAGCTTAGCGAGGTAAAATATCCATTCGAGAACGCAAAATCAATTCGCTTCGAGATGCCAACAATATTTTTTCTTATTTATAAAATAAGAGAATTGTGTTATATCGCAAATAAATTGTTACCATCTTCAGCAAAGCCTACGGGACTTGCCAATAATACAGCATAAAGCTACGATAACTGACAGCACTGGATCTGGCATAAATTTAACTAACTGCAATATCGGCACTTCCAGTTTACATATAGTGTAAAATAATTGTTACTTTGTATTGAAATGTTATATTACTTAAAATTTATGTTGTTTAATTAATAAAATCATAAATAAGTTTCAAAAAAATTACAAATTGTTTTGACATTTCTTTATGTTCTAGAACGAAAAAGACTGACGTTCTAGAACATAAAAATATTTCGCAGATAAGCGACAAAAAAGACAGTTTTCGAAAAAACATATTTATTTTCGTAATTTTTTGTAAGGTCACCGTCTTTTTTGAAATTTACGTCAAAAACTAACAGCAAATTTTTAACATTAACATTGCGCATTGTATTAGCTATATTCTGTCCAAATTTGGTTAATGCAACTCTCTCGGTTTCGACATGTTTCCAGCCAAGAAAATTGAATAATTCCAAATATTTCGAATTTTCACCACCAAGAACGGCGGTGACAACATTTTTAACATTAAGGCGATGTTTCGCATTGTATTAGCTATGTCCTGTCCAAATCTGGTTAACGCAACTCTCTCGGTTTCGACATGTTTCCAGAAAAGAAAATTGAATAATTCCAAATATTTCGAATTTTCACCACCAAGAACAGCGCACACTGGGATTTTTTAAGTTTTTTTTTTTCAAAATTCAGCCGATCTTCATACGTTTTTTTCTAAAATAATTATACTTTCATGCCCAATTCATTTGGGTCATATCGATTGAATTTTGAGAGGTTAGGTTGCTAAATTTTATTTTTTTTTTGTATTTTCAGAGAATAAAACGTTGAATATTAAGGGTGAGAGAGCAGTAGGGGTAATTTTTTGAGAGGAAGATATACCTAATGAAGATCTGGATGGTATACGTTTGATTTGGGTCATATTGATTGAGTTTTAAGAGGTTAAGTTGCCGATTTCGGTTAGTCCAGAAAGTAAACGTTGAATATTAAGGGTAAGACAGCAGTAAAAGTAATGTGATGGGGAAGAAAGTGTACTTAATAAAGTTCTGAGATGTCTCCAGTCTTTCCCTCAAAAAATTACCCCTACTCCTCTATCACCCTTAATATTCTACGTTTTATTCTCTGAAAATACAAAAAAAATTGAAATTTGACAACCTAACCTCTTAAAACTCAATCGATATGACCCAAATCAAATTTATAGCACTTAGGCATGAAAGTACAAGTCTTTACGAGTATTTTAGAAAAAAATGTATGAAGATCGGCTGAAATCTGGCCATCTTCTGGAATTTTGAAAAAAAAAACCTTCAAAAATCCCAGTGTGCGGTGGTGACAACATTTTTAACATTAAGGCGATGTTTCGCATTGTATTAGCTATGTCCTGTCCAAATTTGGTTAACGCAATTCTTAATTTGTTACATATTTCAACATATTAAATTTGATTCTTCTTCTTGAAATGTCTTGGTAAATTCTGTTTTAAGAGTAACATAGATGCAATAACTAGAATTCGTTTTATTCCCTTTGAAAATTTAACTTGTGCTGCTTTAAGTTAAAATTACTTCTGTAAGTCGAGCTGCAAGGCAGGTACTTCATCTATAACCTTGCAACTTTATCCCAGGTCGAGTATAATCTATACAAGTAAACTTGTTACATAGAAATAACAAAGGAATTTCATACGCAAGGGAAGTTCACTCGACGTGACCTGTAAAAAATACGCAAACCATAAAGCGAGGTAGACGATTATCACACGCTTCATCCCGGACATAAATTTCCGCAAGCTATAAATACTTACGATTTCTCGTTGACATAACTTTAAATGCTCCTTATCGAGCTTCGTTTTTCCCGTTCCGGGACCAGTAACTGAAGCCTTGGAGATGGTTACGTACTTGGCGCAACCTATGGACAAGTCCTCGAGGACCTGCTTGAGTTGGGTCTCCACGTCGGCTACGTCGGCTTCTACCGATGAATTCACTTCCGTTAGTCCGTCCTCCTGAAAGATCGTAAGGGCGTGATTTGGTTGGAAAGCGGGGTTCATTTGATTTGGGAGGTCAGGAATCGGAAGTCAAGTGTTCAAATTGAAGGTTTTTCCCTTCGCATGCCCTTGTCGAGGCCCGTGTTGCGGAATAATAATGAGTTTTAATTTATATATCTTTAAAATCTTTGGAATTATGTTTGCAAGAAAAAAAATCTAAATAAAAGCCGTATTTATCGATTAAAGGTTTTTGTTTAATTTTCTTTTTTTCTGAAAATATTTTGACTTCAAGAATGGTACATGGTATATAACAATCAACTAATTTCGACAGGTTACAACCAAAATAAATTTTAGGGTAAATTCGAAAATTACACAGTATATCTACAAACTTTGACACAAGACGAGACCGATTAATTTCCATTGGAAGAACGGTGATAATTAGTAGTATAGAAGTTTAAATATCATAAATAAATTTAGTCCAGTTGCGCTCATAAACTTTGAAGTGCGCCTTAAAATTTTCTACCTTAACATTTATCTCATTTATTATTTCCATATAAACGCTTTCAAAATGTGCTTCTAAAAAAAGTTGGAGAAGAATCGTAGGACATAAATCATATATTCTCAGCAATTTTATCACTTTTATGTACCTTCAACGTAATTTTTATTATACCAGAAGACTTAAATATTTGATATTCGACATTCTTATTCTAGCATTATTCTTAAACATTCCCTGTGGGTGTCAAGTATATCTGCGGATATAATATTTCAGCATTGTTAACAAAATTGGAATATATGTAGTGGAATATCTAGTAAATCTGAAAGTATATGTGGGGAGATTTACGACCTTATATTTTTTATATTTGGGGTTCAGTGTATCAGAAAATATTCGATCTTGAATCGGGTAAATTTTCTTATACAGGGTGAGTCAGTTTTTTGTAGACAAACTTTAACAGGAGATAGAACACATGTTTTTAAAAAGAAAAGTTCCTATAAACCTATGTCGTAGAAGGCTCCGTTTCCGAGATACAGGGTGTTGAATATATTTTTTTTCTCGAATTTTCATTATAACATAAACGAATGCCTAGGTTTTGTTCGTGTGTGGGAGTTAATTAAGGGGCATAAAACAAGCGATAAGAATGTTCAAAAATTTGCACAGTGGCGGAGTGGAGGGGGTGCTCAACCACTTTCTTAAACAGAACTTCTACGCCAATGACTATTTAAAAAAAAACTGTTATTTTTATTATTTACATACAGTTTAACAAAAATAATGTCCCTTCTTCTGTTTCCAAATTCCTGTGCGTTTCCGAGTTATTTTGATTTTTAGTGTTTGATGTGGTACTAAATTAAGTCATTTATTTATTATCAATTATCGGCTAAATATTTAATTTTTTCAACGAAACCTACCTAAATATGGTTTGTTAAGGATTTTAAAAAGCCGAAATCTCTTATTCTTTATCTTTTTCCAATGTAGTCAAAATAAATATTTGTTATGTCAAGCCATATTCAAATATGTTGCATTTAAAATTTTTGAGAAAAATCCATAAAACGGCATTCTTTCGAAATAACGCCATCTATAGGTTTCCATATTGAGGTAAATGACATTACGCATTAACCACGAGATAAAGCATGAAAAGACCTTTCCAACGAGGTATAACACTATGGGCATTTGATGAGACAATCCTTAAAAAAATGCATTTTTCTGATCAGACATTAGGGGCTTCCCCCACCCTTTCTGTAGAGAGATAGAACAAAATGTCAATAACAAAAGTTATGCGCAATAAATCCGGCTATTCATATTTGTACTATTTAATATACCTATATATTTTGAGAAAAAAATCAATTGTGGTTTGGTATGTAGATTACACCCCCTAGAGACCGAGCTACGAACTTGAAAACTATTTCCAGCGAATTCTATTGGTCAAATTGTTAATCAATTTTGTTTTCCCGAAGTTCTAGGGCCTATACTTTCTCTAATATCGTACCTCGCCGATACTTAGTGGGACACTCTGTATATTTAACAACGGATTGTGTGGTATAATATCATAGGCTAGCCTCATAACACTCACGTTCTAATTGTGAAGTAAACCGATTAGAATTTTTCCTGTACACAGCTTATATTTTCTGCACGATATGCATTCATCACCATGCAAAGTTTCTCATGTGAATAAAGTTAAAATGTTAACCACTTCTATTACTGTCAGTTGAGAGCAGAAATGGTCGAGTACAAGTAAAAATAGTGGAAAATGGAATAATAAATATATTCATTAATTTATTAATCAAAATCAAAATTGCTAAAACTTTTGGGAGCCTCTGGAATCGCTTTATATAGATAAATAAAGGTAAATAGTTTGTAGGATGTAGAAAGTTGCTAGTTCAATTTTGGGTTATCAGTTTTACTTTAATTTTTATTATGGAATATGTATCTATATTTTATTGTTTAAATTTCAAACGAAATTATTTACGTACAAATGTTTAAGCGGAATAATTTTTTTTCTGGACTTTTACTTCCTTTTCTTTTGGAAAATACAAGTCTGTCTGGGATGTATGTTTGCTATTAAGTCCGAATAAACATACTAGATTGTAACAATGGACATAGTGGTAACATATGGAAAGCTATCGACGGAGTCAGCGGTTCAAAAAATGTTCCTTATATTATTTTGGTAAGTCAGTAGGTATTAAAAAATATATCCACTTGCAAACAATATTTCTGCTAATAGAGTTTCTACGCCTCAATTTATTTTTCCTTGTAATCAACTTGTATAAAAATTTCAGTAGTGTATTTAGTTTTGTTCTTTATGTTGTATTGTCATTTTTAATAATATCAACTTGAAACAGCTTTTTTATCTCCAGAAATAATAATTGTTAAGCATTGAACACATATAAGTAATTTTTAATAAAAGTTATACCGACAAATCACTTGTACCACTTACCAGTTTTTCAGTAATTTTGGCTATTATGTTGGAATTATACATCCGTCTCCTGTAATCCGGCCAAACGGACCTGATGTGCATGCAGGGCTTGTTGTCCCAGTAAGGCAAAAAGTAGTATATTTTGTCGTGAGTCATGGGCTTAGTTGGGGTTGTGGTGCTTTGCCAGGATGCGCTATCGGACGACACAGCCTCTGATAAGAGATACAAACGGTTATATTTCATAAAATTAGACACACGTGAAAATACTTTACAATTTTTAATATGCGCACGAGAGTAAGGCAGAGAAGAATTTTTTTTATCCCTTTTTATTTGACTAAGATTTAAAATATTCAGAACATGTTATTTGTTAGCTTAATATACACTTTACTCATCTGTGTTTAGAGTTTGTGTCGCTGTACAAATACACACCACACCTTCTAAATAATTCTCATCTTATCTAGCTCTAACATACTTGAGAAAAAGCGTGTTATACAATTCTCGAGTCACGTTTTATCAGGAGGTGTATCTATGTCACTTATTTAGTATCCTTGGCTAGTGGCAAACTATAAAATATTTTCTCTGTTTTATCGGTCGCGGTTTGTTATAGCCGGGAAGTAATAAAATGTTTTATATGGTTGTCTATAAGTAGATAATATCATCCAGGTATCAGAGACTAAATATATATTTTTTTACTTACATGAAAAAGTAATAAACTTTCCTTTACCTGTTTGATATAGTATCGATTCTTTTGAGTTTATCACCGAAGTCATGATACATTACTTAAAACTTAGGTATTATTATTTCTTTATACATACTCTACAATTTCTCTGAAAATTTACAACCTAAATACAGTTGCTGCAGCAGCAAACAAAGACCGTTTACATAAATTATTTTTTTCCTATGTTCCGCAGAAATGTAACAGCAGCGGAAACCCTGTTGTTCATTTATCTTTATAAGTATGAAATCTGAGACAGGCTGCTCAAAAGGGAATTTGTCGTTTCCCTGGAGATATATTATACGCTCATTTTTAAAAATGCCAGTATTTAATAACTGCAATGTAGAGATTTATAAGCACATAATAAGAGATGTGCATATTTTAATCATTTTTTTAAATATCACCGGTAGAATGAAATTAGACATAAGTAAATTGATTTCTGTTTTTATTTAATGCTTCTAGCAATACCCTAGATGGTATAAAATTTAGTTTGAACAATTCCTCATCCCCGTACATACACTTATTGTTGTTATATATAATAAATTATCTCCTTCTGACCATAATCACCTATAGGAAAAGGATCTTAATGTAATAATAACAAAGGCCTCGATTCCTTTGTCAGCAGCTTTTATTCTAAATTATGGCGAACGCTCCGGTTTCAGAGAAGGAAACGGTGGCTTCGCGAGCGCTTATCTATAAAAGTGTTATTTCTGGATGCGACAGTGTTCTTGTTCGAGTCCTTGGTTTAAGATCTACAATGTAGTTAAAATTCGGAGCTCTTAACAAGGTTAATTTCGCTCCCTCCCATTGTATTTACGACCCTTTAAAAACGGCAGAAAAGTTTAAAAAGTTGCAAAAATAAAAGTAAATGCACCTTTTCTATTATCTAACAGACATTTGTTGGATAATTTCTTGACCTTCCCCCTCGGTTGCAAGGGGTAGAAGTAACCACCCCTACAAGTATACAAGTAGTTTTTTGCGCAAATGTAGCTGGATGCAATTCTTAAATGCCAATGTATGGTATTTATTTGTAATCATTTTGATTATAATAAATTAAAACAAATAATAACAGTCATTGTCTACAAACACCAGAATAATGCACGGTAATTACCCTTTATTTTGTCGGAATATATCTCAATTTCGATGACAGCAGTTCAGTAGAGAGTGACAAAATGTTGAAGGTAATTAATCTGAAGTTGATGTCTATATAAATTTGCGAAACTTTTAAATTTAATGGGAGTGCATTTTAAATTTGTATTAACAGATTATCTTGGTATGGTGCACTCATTCGCAAGTGAATAGCTTTACCGTTTTTGATAATAAGGCAAAGGGTAAGGGTGTAATTAATGTTGCGGTTTCAAATTAGTCGTCAATGCGGCTGGCGGGTCTAGATTTATCCGGATCCCGAAATTTATACAATTAATTTGCAATCAAAGGACCATGAAATGCTAACAGCTTGAGCTGTACAAAATCCTATTTTATCTCGTAAGTGGTTAGCTTAACTAAATATTTATTTGTACTCTAAGAATTCGAAATGAATTTTAAAATATTTACGTGTTTTTAATACCTGCCAGTCCCAGATAACCGTCTATTTTATCTACTTAAGTAGATAAAATAGGCGGGTTCTGGAGTGAAAGTGACGTCACGTGGCCAGTTTCCATCGAGCTGCAAGAAGTGTCATGGCGGCATTGAAGTGACGTCACATGGTCAGTTGGCGGTAAATTTAAAATTCAATCACGATAAGGGGAGGTCAATGACGTCCAAACAGCATTGCGTCATTATTATCCGGTATTGCATCATTCGAGGTCAATGACCTCCCCTTAGCGTGATTGAATTTTAAATTTACCGCCAACTGGCCATGTGACGTCACTTCCATGCCGCCATGACACTTCTTGCAGCTCGATGGACGCTGGCCATGTGACGTCACTTCCGCTCCAGAACCCCCCTATCTTATCTACTTACTTATGTCCAAAGTACAAATGATCGAAAATCGATCTAGTAAAAGCATCCCTTTTATTTGGCGTATGTGACGTCACTACTAAAAAGGTCTGTTGAAGGCACAGTTAATTATTTCTACCCCAGCTAGGCAGATATTGTTTCTAAAACCTCTTGTAAATATGGAACACCAGTAAACGCCCGACAGCTTCAATGTGTATTTTTTTAAACTTACCCAATTCGTCACTGTCCGAGTCGTAGTGCTCCCTAGCAGACTCATTATGGCCGTCAATAGCGTTGCCGGCATTCCCGATGCTTATTTCGAAGTAAACCGGTTTTTCACCCAACTTTCTGTCAATCATTGACGCTTCCAGGATGGTGGCGAATAAAAAGAACTCCTCGTTTTTCGCGTAGGACGTCTCGTTGACTGGCACCGTGGGTTCTAATTCCACTGCTGCCGGAGCCAGGTCGATGTTGTCGGATATCTCCGTCCTGATAGACACCAGAAGCCTAGCTCGGTACGAAACACCTAAAAAATATTCGAGTTGTTTAGGTACCTATCTAGGTATTTGTTTTAATTAAATATAGATTGTGGTTATAACTGGACCAATTTTACTTAAGCTCTGAAATACGCACAAGTTGACCTTAGTTTGACCTTCAAAATTGTGGTGAAGGTCAAATCCAAGGTCACCATATAATTTGCTATTCAAAATCCTACAAACTTGGCTTGAAACATTTTTGTTGACCTGCGAGATCGTACAGGAAAAAATATTATGATCACATATTCGGAAGTAAAGTCTGGCGTTCTGTTGATTACTGGCGTAAAAATAGGATTTTCCGTTTAAAATTTTCAAGTTGATCTTAGGTTGACCTTGAAACTTAAGGTCAAAGTCAAATCCATGGTCACAATAATTCTTTGATATCCTACAACTTTTATTTTAAACTTTTATTGATAGGATTCGTTCCAGTTATCGAAAGGTTCGTGTCTTGCTGGAGCACCGGATCATAATTGTTGTCAACTATGTCCTAGTCTGTTATAGATGATGTTTTAAAACAACTCGGCTTTTATTGGAGATACAAAGTCAGTAAAATTACCAAAATTCCCTAATTTTGCTGCCGATTAAATTGTATAGCCTTTCCGATCTCGATTGAAGACCAAAGAGCAGCAATTCGGCATTGAAATATTTGAAAATCTTGTTCCCATATTTATTTAGCCATACCCATACACAGGTCTGGTCGTCCAGTTGAAACAAGCGCGCGCGGCTAAACGGCGCACAAACACAGCCGCACTGGGAGACCGGCCATAAATTTCAGTTATTGACAAATTGTCTGGTAGTTCAGTGCAACAATGCGGAATTTGTCTGATTCGGGTAATTTTAATTTATTATAGGCACCTTCTATTAATCTTTCATATTAGAATTGCGAAAGGGAGAAATAAGAGGGATATTTCGTTTACTTATATTATTACAACATGACATTTTGGAGACCTTTTGAAACGGAACAAAACGAAATACCGCCAGGCAATATTGAATTAATAGAACCAGTTGTTGATTAAACAGATTTACGATTGTGTAAAAAAGGAAGAAAATGAAAAATCAGATAATGACATTATGAATAGAATTCACATATCAACTAAAGTTTCATTGTCAGTTTTTTGTGTTATTAAACAAGGTGTTATAGATCACTGCGTAAAGAGGAAGCGAAAACAAAAATTTAAAAATATCGATGACATGACAAGAGACGTAATTCCGCGGACAATTTATAATTTATAAAAAAAATTGAGGACATAAATAATTAAAATATGTTGTTGGCCAAATGAACATATAATAATAACACATTATTTACAAATTAATATTATTTTTTATCTATAGTAGAAAACTTTTTAGGAACGTCTATGAAGCTCATAAAATTCTTTTGCTAGGCGTTTTTATACATGTTCAAGTGACATCGGAAAGACTATACTTACTAGATTTATTTATTTTAATTTTTCATTTTACGGAAAAGAATAATTCTTGATAAACAATTTGCTTGTGTTTAACATAGGGTTGACATAGAGAATTTTAAGTTTGTATGCACATTTATTCTTAGAAATTTAATTAAGCATTACACTAAAGAATTTGTATATACGAGTACTTCGTTAAGATCACACTGTATTCTACAAGAAATTCGTAATGGAAAATCATTAAAACGATCGTTTGAATGGTGCAATCAGACTTTTATCGTTAATACAACTTTTTTATTTCTGATTTAATATTTGGATGAACGGAGGAGAATTGATTAAAGCGTGATATCCCTTGAAAATATTCCTCTCAGCATTATTCACTTCGCCGATCTCTCTTTTTGTGATTTGAATTCGATTTTCTTAAGTAATATAATGTTAAGAAGATCGTATTTTAGGAAAAAGTTTTTAATCAATTTTTTCATTCAGTTTTACTCACATCAAAATGTAAAACAGGTTCTATTTGCAATCGTCGTTTATACAAGATGATCATTTTCTATGAATTGCTGTAAATGCAAAGTCATTTACATTAACGATTCATTCGTCACGATCGTCAAAGTTAGTCTTTAGATTTTCATTTAGTGCTTCAGGTTTTTACCTTTGTTCTCTTTAACGCTTACTTTATCCACCCAGCTTACTGCATGCGTGTGCATTTATAATATTTGCTCTGTCAGTGTATTTGCATAAGTCTAGAGGCAGGTACATTGAAAATTAATGCTATTATAGAATGTCCCCAACTACACCGTTATTATTAGAACTCAAAGCAAACTTTCAGCTGCAATAATATAACCAGTTTTAAATAATTTAGGAGTGTATACTTTTCGAAACTTTCAAAACACATGCAGTTACTTTTAACTATACCATTATTACGATATTTAACATTTGTTTTACTGAATAACAAAATAACCTTTGTAAAAACTCTTGGGATATCTCGATACTTTCATTGCAATATTTTTTCGATTAAAAACTCTTAAATATCTAAACGTGCCACATATAAGAGATGGTTCCCTTGATTTTTGAGTTATGTCTTGGAAATATGCAGACGTATTTTATCACCATCTCCATTATATCAAATGGTGATAATTTATATGCCTCTATTTGATATTCTGCTTCTAACATAAAAACTGTGTTATTTTGACTGATCTTCGTTATCTATCTTCCCTATATTTGTTTGCATTTTTACTTCAATTCTCTTCATTCTAGTGCAAATATCGTAAAAATTACATCAGAATATTTACCACAAGTAGTAAATATACAAAAACATATTAGCATATATTTGCACTGAGTACAGATTATTTCAATTTAGTAATTTTTAATCAATAACGACCTGTTAGTTCCCTCTGTTACTATAATCATTGAGTATAGCTACAAGGAATCGAGCAGTAACGACGCAACAGGTAGCAGATCGCCTCAGGAAAATAATCAGCGTTAACAGATCTCTTTCATTCGTAGACAATCCTATTAGTAACTTCCTAGAACAAGCTATAGGGATTTCTGTAGGATAATCCTCGTCTTACCTTCGCCTAATCCTGCATTCAAACTTGAATGCTCGTCAATGAGGCTGTAATCTCGGGTGGATCCGTAGAGGTGGATGAAAGAGGGGCCAAACGTGGGCAGAAATCCTGCAAGAACACGCGTTGGAACAGGCCCGGCCGTTTGGGGGATGTGTGGAGCAGGACAAGTCAGCTAAATTATTTTAACTGATTATGGAGGCAATAAGCGACCTCTCTTACATATCTCTTGCATATTTGAAAACTTAACTGCTTATTTTGATTTTGGATCAATTTAGACTTTTTGATGAAACCGGTTAAAACACACAAAACTGATTTTAAATTGTCTCATAAAATAAAAAATATATTTTTCAACCAAGTAAGGACTAGTGTTAAGATTAATATACGTATTTAAACATTAGCTTAACAGTTTAGCTGACTTACACTGGTCATAAGCTGAGGCCCATTCCATGACGTTGTAAGTGCCAGTTTAGTACAATAATCAAATTGTTATCAGGATAAACTGGAACACCAATGAAGGTAGTTACTATTTATAATATGATGAGAAAGTTACATAAACAATTTTTTTAAATAAATTATTTATAGTACACTATATAATAGGTGCAATTGTGCCTAGATTGATCCAGTTATGTATTTATTTGTTTTCACATTGACTTTTACACGACTGTATTATATTTTATTATACAGGGTGGCCCAATTAAAACAGTCCTCCTGAAATATTTCCATTGCAACAGGTTTTTTCGGAAAACCCCAAAACAGATCGACTTTGCTTTCAACTTGAATACGTATTAATTATTTTTGGGGTGTGGACTTTTGCTTTTAATCTACAAATTTTGTTGTTATACAGTGTTTTTTAAAACTTACAACCCGTACAAAATTGATGTAAGGTGATAATATCCGTTCATAACTTTTCATCTTTCGGACCATAATGACTATTTTTTATTTGATTGGGCACATTGTAAGTAACTAATTCGTAGAATGTGTGTATCCATATCGAAAAATGAAGTAACATGTGGTATGTATATCTTATCAACACTCATTAAGAATTGGCAGGCAGGTACAATGACTTAAAGATCAAACTAAAATTACAGTCAGCAGGATAATGTAGACATTTAAAAAACATTTTTTTGTACCCAAACCGCTCATTCAATCAAAATTTTGCAGGAGGCCTAAAAACTTCCAAATGGTATCACCTATCAAATAAAAAGTAGTTGTCCTTATTGCCCGTAACAGGAAAAGGTTATGAACGGATATACACATCAATTTTGTAGGAGTTGTAGGTTTTAAAAAACATTCAGTGTTCAATAATACGTAAGTATTCGAGTTATTTACAAAATTCAAAAAATTTTCACGAACTTTGAGGTCATCTAGCGACCAAACGAAGCGATTTCGGATGTAGGCGAATTAGCCTAAATATGTCTATTTTGAGTCCATGAATCTGTGGTCTTCCGTTGTACACGTTTTTCTGGGACACCCTGTATTTTACTTTTATGGTTGTTTACCTAAATAAGTGATATTTGAAAATATGTTACAGATAAATATTTGCTACAGAAATAATACGATGTTTTATTTGGAATATACATATTTATATGTTTGTTCTGAATGTTGGCCACATATACCTTCAATATTATTTAAATTTTTCTTGGTTTGTTTGTAGAGAAGCGTGTATAAAATCGTTTGGGAAAAGTTCTGTATTCTACGGAAAGCATTCTTTGATAGTTTCTGTTCAGTGAACAAAATTTCCAGTTCAGTGGACAAGATAACAGCGCTTTTCCTTCTTGTTTTACTAGAAAGAAGCAGAATTTAAAAGCGAATTACACTGGGTTAGTTTGTTTATAAGAATTTGGACTTTGTCTGCTTCAGGATGTTTTGTTAAATTTCGTGTATGGATTTTAAACAAAAATTTAACTTAAGAGTTTTACTTTTTACCTCATTTTCTACACAAACCGAGTAGTTTTTTTGAAAAAGGGTAAAAGGAATTGTTAATTTTGTTTTATAATCCATTTGGAGTTTGGACCTTATCTTAACTTCACCATCGTCGCTACAACACTCTGTATCAGTTTGTGGATGAATATAACGTCTATATAGAATAAACTGCATTGGACTTACAACGTGCTGGAACAAACTGAAAGTAATATACCCGTAACGATTCCCGTTTACCTCTAAAGTGGCACTTACATTGCTACGGAATAACAGCCTCACCTGGTCTCACCCTTCTCTCCGTCATTGGAGACGGTCTTCAGGTCTACGAAATGCGTGCCGATGACGGTGGGCTTGACGGGATCCTCGTCGCGAAGTTGGATCTTAATCCTCTGGCATAAAGGGGGGAACATCTCCGTGAAAATGAGCTGCTCGTTCCACACCGGCGCGTAGCTGTGTTTCTTCACGCTGGTTTTCCCCTGGAACAAGTTAACGAGTCATTTTCTTTTATCTTTGTCTTTCGGTTGGCCGAATGCAGTGGTTTTTTATTTATTAAGTACACTGATAAAAATAGTGGGAATTTAGAGGGACGTTTTATTTGCAAAAGTTTCTACATAAGCTGTTTAAGAATCAGATCAAACTCACTTGTACGAGGACGATATTTTATAATTTAATCAAACTACACTCAAAGTGCATTTCCATGCAAGTACTTGCTCATTAACAGTTTCAGCTTCACAGTTATTATTCATGAAGACTGCGGTATCACGGGGAGAACGAAGAGGCTTATTTCTAGTGTTTACTTTATTGCCTAAAATTCGGGGACATGGAGACTGGAAAATCGTTGAAAGCTCTGATGTACCAACCATATGCAAGCATCATAAATAATAATTTAATTTAATGCTGAGTTTAACGCTGTAACACGTCAGTTTGAATTTCAGTTGAATTATTAGAATTCCTCTGTAATATTATTATTATTACCGTAGGAAAAAAGTGTGCCTATCTCTATTTGTGGTAAACGGGATGAATACAAACTAATATGTGCCCAGAAACCATTCCGTAATGTAATATATGTGCAAATTTTCCGTCTGAATTGCGTTTAGAACATATAATGCCTTTTACTCGACTGCAATTGTAGTTCTTCTTTTTGCTATGAAATCGGTTCTTAAGAAAATGTGCGAAAATGTATTAATTAAAATCTCATCGATGTTAATCAAATGCAAGTAAGAATCGTTCTAATATATAAATCGTTCGTAAGAATATCAATGGTTGCCAGGACATATTTTTAATCAAGGATATGTTTACAAAGAAAACATAGTCAAATTGATATACAAAGAATATATTTTTTTAAACCTATAGTTGCAGTTCCTTAAAAGGCATAAGGCCTTATGAAACAGTATTTCTTTGTGTGCTGAATAATGCTATTGCAATAAGTACTTGAATTTTCATGTTATGAAACTATTTTAAAATTTAATGTTCACAGAGCGGTGAATTCGTTTGAGAGCAACAAAAAAATTAATTCTCTTCAACATTCGCTCGCTTGTTCGCGTATAACCTCTTCTGAAATGAAATACTTAGAAACATAAATCATATGAAGGAAACAGCGTGCGATGTAAGTGTATAAAAATTATAAAGGACTGTCTATATCTCAGTATGAGCAAGGAGGAATATATTTCTGAAAGTACAATATCCCAAGTCTTAACTGTAATTTATTGTGTAGCTTAATGTAATACCATATAAACATCAATTTATTGTAAGTATACCTATTTATAATAAGAAAAATAGTTGTGAGGTTTTTTATATCTTTCCAAGGATGATATGAAATATTTTAGAAAGAACAATTCACGATTTAAAAGTGTTCTTGTTAAATAATATACCAAATTCAGTTTTGATTTCTTTCTGATATAAAATCACAAATATCAAGCATTTCAATTATATATATATATTTGGATGGAAACTATGTAAAATTTAAGCGTTAGCTATATGCGTAGGTTCAAAAATTTGGAACCGTATCACTAATATTAATCAAGATATTTTGATGCCAATACATCCTACCCATTATATTGAAAAGTAGTGATAGGTATATTATTATTCCTTACAAGAAAATAAAATTGTTACATGATGGGTAAATAATGTTTAATATCACACTTTAAATATCGTGCGAAAGTTTCGTGACTAACTTGCCTCGTTCAATATAATTGTCATTTATATTTTTCCGAGTATTTTTCATTAGTTAGGTAATTACTACTATGATGAAATCTAGAGATAGCCAGTTCGACTTTAATTCAATGAGATATAAATAAAGAAGGTTAATTAAATACGCCCCTCTATAACAAAGTATAAATTCCGAAGCTAAGGTTTTTGGTAATGAATTCAAATTTATTAAAATTATCATTTTGTCTTTATTCAGAGGCATTGTATGTCTAGAAGAAAAATTAACTGCGGTTCTGTCAAATAAAATTAAGGATGAATACAAAAGGAAATTTCATTCTCGTTAATATCTGAAAAATTGTGCAGTGAGTTGAATATGAACGCAGTGACATATTACATGTCCTATAACTGTGAATTTTATAGTGATCTAATGTTTTTTGGAATTAAAAAATAAATCGGATAATTACATTATTATAACTATTCAAAATCACAACAGGCCAACCTTTGTGTAACCATAATTTATGTATTATATGTAAGTTAGAACTAAAAACAACCTTTGACCTGTTACACTATATTAATAGTTATTTATTGTATAGGTAAAGGTTTTAAGAAGCATTTTGTCCACGCAAGAATGTTTAAAATTATAATAAAAAAATATTCGCACGACTTGATATTTCTTACTAGTAAGTATTCAATGAAACGTTGTAAGTCTTTGTCATACCTACTGGTTGTACCTTGTATGTACCTTGTTTATTATCAATTATTTAATAAACAGTTATTATCAATTATTTAATAAACAGTTCTATCTGAATTTGGTAAAAATGCAAGAAAGTAATTGAGTTCCTGTGGCTGTTTTTGAAGAAGCTCAAGAAGCAATTTTCCATTTATTGCCAACGAAATCCAAGGAACATTACGAAAAAGTGTTCGCCGAATTTAACAAATGGAGAGAAAAACGGAGAGTAATGTCAATAAATGAGGAAGTCATGCATTTTTTAAACTTGAAGAAAAAATATACAATTTCATCTACGTGGTGGAAGTATTCGATGGTGAAGGCTACTATAAAGGTATACAAAAATATAGATATTGGAAAATATAACAAGCTTATTTGAAGAGTGAATCGAGAGCAAGCAAAAGAAACTGCAGTATTGGAAAGAGCACATATTGAAGAAATTTTAACTGGGGGCTTCAGATAAAGAATATTTAATGACTAAGATAACATCTTTACCTTTTACATTGTTTCAATACCTGACATCAAGACGGGCAATTCAAGAAAATTTACAACTATAGAAGAAGGATTTTGCGTGAATGCTGTTGAAATGTGCAGAACATATATTTCTCTGCGGCCAATTCGCCTAACACAAGACATAAGTATTCTTTTTAAGATACATCAGTCAAAAATGTACTCCTCAGCCTGTTGGAATCAACACATTGGCGAAGGTACCTTCAATAGTTGCTCCATTCCTGAATATCGCAAATCTAGAAGCATATACTGGCCATTGTTAAATAACGCAGTCTTTTAAAGAAATATCTTGTGGTTTATTTTCTTTTTAAATTAATATAAACTTTATATGACACTTGGCCGAGGCGCCTTGGTCATGCTAGTCATTAAATGTGTATAATTATCGAAGTTCGTAAATTTCTCTACGAGTTGCTAAAGCGACTGTTGGTTGACGAAGTTTGCGGCATTAACTGTGCCACAAAATATGATTACAGTTATATGAAGTTTAAAGCCCCTAAATCGGTATCGGTAAATTCGTACAACCCCTCCCATGACGAAGCTAGTTCAGCTTCGGGTAATTTTTAAAGGATGACATTCTCCTTCGATTTGTTGTACAATCAGTCCTTTCGGCTAATAAAAAATAATGTATTAATTTTATTTTTACTATGTCTGCTCAAACTTTTTGGGATATAACAGTTTTATAAATTTTGTCAACATATTTACTGTTTGGATTTAAGATACCTATAGTGTTGTTCTGTTTCTTTTGAACCTTGCTGAAACTTACCTACACGAAGTTGAGGATAATGTGAGAATACGACCCTAATTTTGAAAACTGTAATGGGAACTAATGTGTAGTAGAATTTCACCCCTTCTTGGCACGAATAATGTTTCCCTACGTTAATAGTGTCTGATGTAATAATTTATCAACTCAGGTAAGATTTCATTACTGAACAACGGCTAAAAAATTGGCGACAGGTCACAATAATGTGTTAATATGAAGGTATATGCTTTTGATATTGTATTTAGCTGCAACATATACATACGTAATCATCTCTGTGGGAATAATCATAGTTCGTTTGGCAGCGGGACCCAAATAGGGAGTTAATGTAAACAACATCTTTAACCATTGTAATCAGTTGTAAACAGATGAAAGGGAAACTTTGTTTATTTAGGATGGAAATGTGAGTTTAGGTATTTAATATACAGAGTGTCGAAAATTTGGCGACATGGTAATGCCCCTAGGGCGAACACAACTAAAATATCTAGAACTCTCCAGCATTTCCGGTTATACCGGAAGTCGACTCCAACTTCGTTAATTTAAATGGGACACCCTATATATTATTGCATTTTCGGATTCTACGTGAAATTTGAAGGTTACTTCATTAAATATTCCCTATACCTAGGGGTTATAGATTTTGAGATATTAATTTCTAAAGAAAAAAATTGACAGATGTCCGCAGAGATGCTAGTAACTTTTTTCAGGAGAGTGATGTCAATGTCCTTATAAATGTTTCCTTGTTTTTCTCTCTTGTATGTCCGTAAGAGTTCATTTAATTAGTTCTAAAATTTTACACTGCTGGCAAACGAACCCAAACGAGCTGTGAAAAATGTAAAACTTCCTGTAGCTTTTTGTTGATGACGTGTACACACTTACCATGAGCCCCGCGAAAGACACTTGAACGTAGGGATCCACGAGGTCGGTGAGTTCCCCGGTGAAAGCCTTCTTCACGTTGGCCATCAGGGAGGAATTCATTTTCGGTAAGCCGTCGGCCCTGTAAATCTTCACGATGAAACGGGCCCTCTGCCTGTCGGTCGGAACGCCGTCGGGCAGCAGCAAATTCCTGAAACAATCCAAACGAGAAATTAAATATGTAGAATAGTCTGTAATTGAACAGCATACCCATCTAAATTGATGAAGCAATATGAATGAATGAAACGAGAATCAGGGTAGGCCTAGGGGTTTTATTAGCGAGTACGCCCCACAGAGACTAGCCCCAGAACAATAGTGGCAGCTCGACGATTCCTAGCCTAGGCTAAGGAAGTACAATGTATATACTGACACGCTTTTTCCGGCGTTTTTCTTGCTGTGTCCAGTGTGCATTTGTGGGCGGAGTTATTTCAGACGCAAACTTATTCGTGTCTGTCTGTAAGTCTGTAACTATCGGCGACCAGGTACATAAGTCACGACATCTTTGAATATCAATCGCGTTTAAAATTATAATCGTATATACTTTTCATTGGCACAAACGGCCAAGCATTTTCTGTATTTCATTGTGTACAAACTTTAAAGGGACATCCTTGAGTTAAAAAACCATATGTAACTTTAAATACGTATTGTTCTAAAAACTGAAGCAAATATTTCACATTTTAGCCATATTCACAGTTTTACGAGCCGTACAGATAAATCTGGTACTACCCTATAAGTTCCTTCAATTTGAATCTTTGAAAAATAAAAAATTGTATAAGGTATAACGTTTACCGTCAAAACAAAAAATAATAAGGCTTTTCCTCTCCGACTCGTAATCTGAAGACCTACTTTCAAATCGATAAAAACTCAATTTACAGGTTTTTTTTATTCATGAATACAGATGTGTATGATTTTAAGTATAGAGGTATTTTTTTGTGCCGTCGCCGTCGGACAAAAAGTAAATAAATATCAAACCAATATGAGCTTATATTAAGCGTATTTTAATGTAAATAATGACAGCTTAGAGCTTAATTAAAGTTTATTCCTTTAATTTAAATTCAAAAAGAAAAGATGACCTTTTCATTACATCTTTCGGCTTTTCATCAGAGCATAATTCATTAGATGAAGATATTTAAAGAAGAGGTCTCAATATCCATCATGTCGTTTTAATAAAAAAAATATATACTGTACACATAATAGCGACGTCGATAAGAGTTTTTAGGAGACAGTACGTTAAAAAAGTTTTCTAACTTAAATGAAAGTAAACTCGATGAATGCCCAAGAAAAGTTCTACGAGATGTGCGACTTATTTTGGAAGCGATGGTAAAACCTGTTTGACTGACGATGAGTTTTATTAACGTCTTCATAAACTACGCAGGTCCGTTCAAGTTTTAATCAGAAAACTTCAAAAGGTGATATCGAACTTTGCCTGACCTTTACACACAGACATCTAGTTTGTTGCTTACTACACGAGGCTATTTTACTTATTGTTTTATTTGCACTGTTTTTTGTTGTCACTTTAATGTTCTGGAAAGAAGTGGTCGTTGCTCTCCAGATGGTTTAAAGATATCGCAGTAAAACTTTTTCCGGAAAATATAAGAAGAATTTTTTTCCTTATACTTAAAATTATTATTTTTTTAAAATACCATGTAGTTTTTCAGTTTATTAATAAAATTGCACTTCGGGTATATATCGATAATGCAAATAATACAGAGTCAATGAAATTTTACCCTGATACTACTCATACAACCACATAGCAAGTGATAAGTATTAAAGAATATTAAGTTCCATAAAAGTTATAGTTTTTTGTTTATTTTCATCTATATTTGCAAGCAATTATGCCACTTTTTCATGACATGGTTTTATACACGTACCAGGTACCTATATATTTTTAATAACTTAAAAATTGCTTCTAGATTTTCATGTTAATTTGTGTGGAAGTAAACTTCTACATAATTTCAGTAGGTTAAAAAAATGTGCAAAATATGGAGAGGATATTATCTATATAACCTGTTATATATTTTTAACAAAATTCATCACTCTTCTTAACTAACGGGATTATAATGAAATTCCGATGGAAAGTTCGTTAAATATTAATCTCATTACATCAGACCGCTCGGAATCGCAGGATATTCAGGATATTAACGAGCCAGGATAATTTAGTTCCCTTTTTTTTCACGCCCATTGATTATGTCCATCAAATATTTGCAAAATTATTAGTTTTTCTATTTTCGTTTTAATTTCACCATCAATCGAGCTTACAGGTAAAAAATAATTATTTTAAAATGTATATCAAGATTCTTATATAAATAAAAATAATATTCTGAAAATCTTATCAAATGATGTCAAATAATATTCATTGGCACTGAAAACCTGCACATGCAAAGGATATCTAATATCATAGACAAGATTCTGTGGAAAACAACTACTCTCCCGACTACACGTCTCGACAATCATAGCAATATTTAGTAATCAATCAGTAATTTATAAAACACCACACAAAAGAGTTATATTCTCAAGTAAAATACACCTTATTAAATGTTTAACATAATTTTTTATGTCACTACTGACTACTACAATTATTATTGTAGTACAAAAAAATATCTATATAGATGTCAAGGGGAACGGTATCGATTTCGTTGGTATACAGCCCCAAATAATATCATGAATATTTTAACAATACCGATATTGCCTTCTCCGTAGTTGTACCATTTCTCTTTTTTCCATCTCATACTTAGTAACAGACACCCTCTACAACCAGCAACTTCTCTTATTGAATTAATTTCAGAAAGCTGGAGGCGTAAATCGAAAAATAAAATAACAGTGTACCTACCTCGCAAAACTTTAGGATAGTCAAAACATGATTCTGTAAATAAAAGAATGGTCCCAGTCTTCGGAAATTGATAATAGGTCAAAGGAAAACATCTGTTCTGCTTTTATCCCACACGTTGTTTTTAATATCAGAAAAAATTTCATTAGCAGGTTCATGATTTCATTTTATTCCTCCATTATTTTTAAATATACGCGGGCGGACTAAACAGCTAGTAGCTAGTAAACATGCGGTACCCCCATTCCGTCTTTCACTGCTGTAGGACGGTAACCATGACCACCACTGTAAACACTTTATAGATTTAGAGGCGAGCTACGAGGAGCCCACGTATTCAGTGTTTTTCAAATGAATTTTTCAAGTCGAGTTAAATTGACTGCAACAATTTTTCAGACAATGATTCAAAATCATTCATCTACTTTTCGTTTAAACACCCCGTATATAACAAACGCGTAACTAATGGTGCGTTAATTATGGTTTCTAGTTTATAAGATTGTTAGGAAAGTTAACTTAAGCTGCTATTTCATGTTATTAAATGTTGCGTTGTGCTAGGAGCAAGGAAAAATGCCCGCAATAAAGCATTTCAGTTCTGAAACTATAAATACATTCATTGTGGTATTTTGTCCTTGTAACTATTTTTATAATGTCATTTTTCTTCGTTTGAATTATATCAATAATCTTTATTGATATTTTTACTGGGTTCTGAATTTTAAATAAGCTATTTCACACGCTAGGTATGTACATGCATGGAAAATTTATTACCATTTATATAAAAGTTTACCTTTATTAAATCATTCCATGCAATAATGTACCAGTGTATTTGATGTATGTCAAGGTGCTGCGTTATGTTGATAGCACTTCGTGGGGTACGTGGGGTCTTTCATTAAAAAAAAAACTATCTTCCCCGTTTCGTAGAAGGCAAAGAAAAATTTAATTTTGGTTGCAAGAGGTAGAAATAATTTCATGCGTAACTTTTTCTCCTTCACCAATATAGCCATTACAAACTCTATTTTAGACAGTTTTATTTATTTGAAACAAATTTGATTTATATTTTTTAGGCACTCGTAGTAAAAAAAATAAGCTATAGTGCAAGCATACATAATCTAAACCCATGGTACACAGAAAAAATTAATTAAAATGAACGAAAATAAGTTGAGAGTAGCCTTAATTATAATAGCAAAACCATAAAATTTCATAATCACTGTTGGAATTGACCACCTCCTATGAAATTTTGATCTGCTGTAACGATTCCCTTTTATTCATTAAATATATACATTACAAAATAAATTTAAATCCAATATGACTAGATAGAGCCTTGTAGATATTTTAATTTTAATCCATCAGTCATTTAATATTTCTATTGAATTTGAATAAAGCGCGCTTGTTTTTCGAGTTTGAATTATAGTGCCCGATTTAATAGACAGAGGGGGCTAGTAGAGTTAACAATAACAACAGGGAGTGCGGTGGGTGGTTTGGTAGAACGCGGATGCTCGAAAAATTCCAGTAAATAAATAACATATATTAGTAATACTAGTATTGAGATTTCTGTTAACCCGTTACAAAGCACCCCCAGTACTGGGAAATGTGAACAAAAATAGTGAGTGACAAGTTAGTGCAATGTGGTTGTGGTAGTGTTGTGATTTCCTTCTCTGCTTCTCCGACCAGCCATTTTGCTATCGCCGATGGACATTGGACAGTCGACAACAACTGTAAGTTATTTGCATGCATTTTAGTAAACATTAAGCACGATTTTTGTAATGAGTTTTAATAGTCTTATTAGTATATTTTGGTTGGAAACTCCACCTTATTGCTAGTATATCGGTTCTTGCATCGATCAACCATCCATCACCGACCCGACTAGGCTTATATCAAACACGATAGCAGGCAAGCTGCTGCTGCTGCAGCGCTAACGCCGCTAACGCAGTATTCACCTAGCATCTAGCAACTGATGTCACAAACATCGTACACATGTACGTTTCGTAGCCTCGCATCGGCCAGAAATTTTCAAATAAATCTGTATTATTCATTAAAATTTCCGACTCATATCTGACAAGACTACTTTTTATTGCGTATGCAGTTGATTTCAGTTAAATATAAAAATAACCGAACCTGCCTATTGTATGATTTAAGGTCTGGACAAATTTTAGCAACACAATTAGGTATTTGTATCTATTTGGAAAACGGCACTGGACCTATGTCATGCATGTCTCTAGCGGGTCTAATACTGCAAGTATTTTGATAAATTTTCACTGTTTCATAATTATAAAACTTACGCCTCTATATCGTCCTCGTCCTTCTCGCTCTTCGGTGGCACCTTGACGGTATCTCCTTTGCCGATGACGCTGATGTCGCACTTGAGGTAGCCCTTGGGTCCGCCGGCGATGTCATCTGGATCGGTGAGCAGGGCCCATTTGTGGTAGAACTGGTGATCTAGACACGAGAAATTATGTATGCTTTTATCCGGACAACCACGTACATTCCTACGTTAATGTAAATATTCATGGAACGAGCAGGGCAGGCTGAGATTTAAGTTCAAGCTACTTGAGGCGTGCATGCATTGTTCAGGGGGCACAGTCCTTTATGCTTTAATTGCACCGTCCTGAGATGCCCTGGTGGAATGGCTTTTCTGTGCGAGTTACAATAGCTTGTTTACTAGTGTTTTGTACTTGTGAGGGTAGGTTCGTTATTTGATAATTGTTGTTTTCAAATATTAAAAAGAATGACGAAATTGTTTATCTGAATCGATTATAAAAAGTGACCTGGTGGTAGCTTGATAAAAATTATGATTTTTTCAGAAAAATATACGACTTTTAAAAAAACTCATCCACCGAATTTGACGGCACTCAAATCTGACTACTGATTTCAGAAAATCGTTCTTGATTGTAGTGAGCAAATATTCATTTGTAGTACCAAGAAAAAAGGGTAGAGCTATATTTCGTTTATAGTTCCGCGAAAATTAAGTGTACTCAAGATGTAGTTACAAAATAATTTGCTGTTGCTTGTAGTAAGTCGTTTGTAGTTCTTCGAAATTTAACATATAGTTACTATACCCGAGCTAGGTGTCTAAAATCGTTTGTAGTAACGTTTATTTCGTTATAGCTGCTTGAAATTTGACTTATAGTCAATATAATCCAAAATAGATGTCTTAAATCTTTTGTAGTAGCGTTGATTTCTTTTTGCTTTTCCTTGAAATTTGATTTATGATCCAAGGTAGGTAGTAGCTCTTATATTTTCTTTGCTGTTCTTCGAAACGCATTTATTATTTATTTTTCTCTAAGTTTTGGGTCTAAAACCGTTTATATCAGCTTTTATTTCACTTGTAGTACCTTAAAATTTGATGTATAGTCAATATAATACATGACAAGTCTCAAAGTCGTTTGAAGTAGCAATTTTAGAGCCAGAGGTTGGAGAATAGCGACCCTACGTTAAATTTCGGAGACCTACAAACGAAATGAGCGACTGGAGAAGATTTTTTAATTAAAATCTAGTTCAAAATAAATAAAGTCCGTTTGTAAACAGTGCTTTTAGGCAAAATAATTCTTTATTAAAATATCGGAACCGCCTAAATACAAATTTAGTATTATTTGAATTCTCTGCTTATATTATTATTACTGGACATTTAGTCCAATTAACTAAGCCTTTAAATCGAAATTTTGTCAACTTGGCTGAATTTTTGATATGAGTTAGTTTAAGGTATATTATAACAATAAGTGAGAGTAATTTTTTGTTCAACCCCCGGCCAAGGGTGGAAAAAGATAAAACAAAGGGCTTTTTCAAGATAACTCAAAAAGGGTAAGAGCTAGAAAAAAAAGTTTTTCATGAAAGTTGTAAAGCAGACAATTCTACATAAAAATGGCCTCTTAACTTTTTCTTGTACTATTACAATTAACAGAGTTAGGGAGGCTAGAAGTTAAGGGAAGATTTCAGAAATTTAAAAAAAATCATAACAAACAGAAAAATGATTGAATTTTGTAATTTTTTTTTTCAATCTGCTCTAAAATATGTAACTTTTCTTTTCAGAGAAATAGATATATTTTTTAATTTTTAATAAGAAAGTTATAACAAAAAATCAAATTTTTAATCGTTAATTTTAATGATTTAACAAAATTAAATTTCTGAAATCTTCCCTTAACTTCTAGCCTCCCTAACTCTGTTAATTTTAATAGTACAAGAAAAAGCTAAGAGACCATTTTTATGTAGAATTGTCTGCTTTACAACTTTCATGAAAAACTTTTTTTTCTAGCTCTTACCCTTTTTGAGTTATCTTGAAAAAGCCCTTTGTTTTATCTTTTTCCACCCTTGGCCGGGGGTTGAACAAAAAATTACTCTCACTTATTGTTATAATATACCTTAAACTAACTCATATCAAAAATTCAGCCAAGTTGTCAAAATTTCGATTTAAAGGCTTAGTTAATTGGACTAATTATAGCGTTCGTGTTAAAAAAACCGGCGTTTGCAAACCGTTCGCAAACTCATACAACTGACCGAACAAAGTGCGAAACATGTCGAATCTTTACATGGTTTAAATTTTTTCTTTCAGCCGAATAATGTTTTTCCCATTTGCATAAAGCTAGGTGAAAAAAACTGAAAAATAAGAGACAGGATGGGAGAAATATAAATTATAGGTAGAAATAGCTACAGTGAATTAATTTTTTTTAGAAATATTTTTAATAAAACCTTTTTAATATTTTATGTTATTCTGATAGATAAAAATTTAATTTTTTTAATTTAAAATTCCAAAGCTACATTTTTAAAATATGGAAATGTGTTACTTTTTAACAAAATTTTATATTTTTAAATTCTTTTGTCAAAAAATATTTATACTAACAACTGTTTTTTAAAAAATAAAGTAGTAGTAGTAGTATTAATTTTCAAAATTAAGTAAATAAAATATTTTATAAAAAATTTCCAATCTAATATTTTCTTAGCTTAAGAAAGTTTTTATACATTTTTCGAATTTCTAGAGGGGGCAGCTGCCCCTGCCCCCCCCCCCTTGGCGACGCCCTTGTTTCAGGGTACTTCAATATTGCCGATATTCGATCACACAATAAAAAAAAATTAATTTAATTTAATTTAAAATTTAATGATTGATATTTTCATTATTTGTATAAATTATCTATGAAATAAACTTTAGACTGATTTTTGACATTTTGGATAAACAAAAATTTGGCCAGATTTATAAAAAATATTAAAATATTGATTTTTGAGGTTGTTTTTGAAATGTTTTCTTACTTATATAATTGAAAAGCTAAAAAAATGCTGTATTTGCTCAGCTTAAAATTGAATATGACGGCCATAAGAAAAAAAGTTGACGTTGGTTTTTCGCAGCCGAAACGTCGCAATGAAAATCTAAATATACAGTGAAATTCCTCGCAAGAACTTGCTGTGGAAAAGTGTTCAGATTTAAAAAATCCTCTAAATAAAAGAGTTACAGACGATTTTTGAAAATGTTACATTTACTTTTTTCAAAATAACTCAAAAACCTGAAGAGCTAGGATGGGTCTGTAAGGGTTTAAGTTAGCAACAAAACTGTCTAAAACATTTTCCTATCTCTTATAGTTTCCAAGATACCAATACATGCATCACGAAAATGGCCCACACTGTATATTATTTTACCAAATTTCTTTAACAATTATGGTGATTTAGTTAAGGTAAAGCTCAATAAAACGAATTTATCACGGCAGCGTATCAATAGTACGAGTAATATAATATAATAATATCCGATTATAGATTCCGAACGGTAATTTTTCAAAATCCTGCTGTGTCGAACTAACGTTAAATAACGTGGTCTGAGAAGGGTTTGCGAACTTTGCCGAGACATGAATGATGGACAGTAAACCATTTATTTGATTGAGAAGTGTGTGGATACATTCATGTTTACGTAGTCGATTTGTAGAAAATGATGGTAGGTACGTAATAAAAGTGCTCTGGAATAAATTATAAGTAAATTGACATTATTTTTTTATGAAGATTTTGAACGTGGATGAACGATGGAGGGCTAACAATACTCGTTAAAATGAGAAAAAAGATTTTATAGCCATCACTTTAAAATCGATGTAGAAAACTCTAATCTATACAGAGTGGCCGCTTTTAAAGTGTACACCATCAATATTTCCTGAACTACTAGAAGATATACAGGGATGGTTAGATTACAAAAAAGTTGCATATTTTCATGCCATTTTGAATTATGTAAAGAAATTGGAGGGAAGTTGCACCGTTCCTGAAATCTCTTCCAGGCATCCTAGATCCTTGTTTTCATGACCAACTTTTGATAATGATAATGGATTTTGGCAAAGCATTAAATTTCGAGTTAAACGATGTTAATACTTGAGTGAAGAGACTTTATTAAAGGTCAAAAAACGTAAATATGATTTATTCAGTTCAATTTAATTTTATCGTAGTAGTTATGGAAAAAACAAACGAAAATATTGACATTTCTGTTTAATAGTAAATAAACTATCATTTACTGCTGTAAATAACTGTTCAAGTGTTTATATTATTTATTTGTAATGGCACAATATTTTCAGCTTTTCAGTTTCAGTTTTTTCAGCTTATTTCAGGAACGGTGCAAAACAATAATAAATAAATTGCCCAAATTATTTACTTTGAGTTGAATTGAGTATTTACGGTTATTTACGTTTTATAACATTATTATTTGATTTTTTGATAAAAAGTTTATGGATCATAGTCACAATTGAACGAAAATTAATAGTTATTATCTATGTTTCAAAGCAAATAACAATATAAAATGCCAATTGTCATTTAAATAATTCTTTTAAATATTCGAAACAACTTATTTTCAATTTTATATTCCGAATACAAAGGGTAGGTTTTTAATGAATAATTAGACATGTGGCAGCGGGATAATCCTTTGACCAAAATATTTAAGATATAATTTAAAATGTGCCTTCTTACCGAGATATAGGGTGTTTTATTTTAATTACCATAAACTTTTAATAAATAACATTATTATTTATATAAAGTACCTAAGTCAGCAAATTTTTAAAAAACTTTTACGTCAACGTGACATCAGCAAACATTATGTTATTCATTAATAGTTTATGTGACAATTTTTTTCTCCATTGATAGGACAGTATAACTGGCGCCCCCTAGACGTGACAGCAACACTGTTTGCATATTCGTATTTGCCACCTCAAAAAATGTAAAACTACAAATTTTCAAAACAATCTGTCCATACATACTTAAAATATAGCAAAAAATTGAAAATACTTTTACAACTTTAACACTGTAGAACGAAAAGGAGCAACGAAAAATTGACTAAGGCATGTTTGGCTCAATCACTATACTTTGACGTTAACAATCTGTCATTAAGCTGTGTACCATTATTAATGACTCACCCTGTATATTGTAATTTCTCGTTCCCTGTTCATGACATAATAGCCGACATAGTAGGAAAGAAAATATAACAT